AAGGATAATTTACAGCTTTATTTGTAGACACCCTTTATACTAATAGCAGACCGAGTTCTGCAGTGTTGTTCCCCATATAGTCAAAAGAGGACCATCCCATGCACAAGACAGGTATTAGCAGCTTGGGGCAATCCGCAGGTTCTCAGAGGCACTCCTCCCAAATCATCCCAGTGAGCTGGCTTTTGTGGGGGACCACGAGAACACAGAGGAAAGCAGGGGAGAAGCCATGGAAAAGACCATCATGGGAAAAGTCATGCTGGCTGGAACTGCAACATTTTGTTGCAGGGCTGAGTGCATTTGAAGATTGAGAAACCAACATTCCTAAAAGTCACACGCCCAGTAATGTTGCCAATCAGGAGCTTTGTTAAACGATATTAGAAGGGAGAACCTCCCTCTCTCTCTCCTCCTGTATCTGCAGGGCCTGGCAAAGTCCTCCTTTTACAATACTGTAAGGAAGGCAGAACAATAACCGCTTGGAAACTGAAAGCCGAACAGAGCCAGTGCTGACGGAGGAAATACCAGAATTGGCCACAGTTTGAAGTGTTGCAAGTTTTAATACAGATTTTTGGCCATCTGTGTACCTCTGTATGCAAGTGCTTTATTCATGGGCCATTCCGTGTCAGGATCCCCACATCTGGGAGGAGATTATGGGTTTCACAGTAGCTGGAATCCGGAAGTCAGACTGTTTTAAGACAATGATGTTGCCTTGGTGAAGTGGGTTTGTTCCTCCCCAAACAGTGAAAGAGGACATGATCTGTGATTGAACTCCATATGCTTATTTTTACTGTGAAGAAGAGGCATCTGATCTCTGCGGACACAAATTCAGTTCTGAGAACTGCAAGGCCAGTTATCTGTGATAATATCTTCTAGACAGAAAAAAATGTCCCATAATCTTAGAGAAACCTCTGGAAGAGCATGACATTGTGAATGAATTAATGGAATTCATTTACCAAAAAAATGTAAACGTTGCATGAATTGCAGCCTCATGCTGCATCATTGAAAACATCCTTATTTCATGATGAATAACCTTTGGACTATAATGCATCTTAAATAGGAAGCTAGTTTTAGCTATTTTTTTCCTCAAAAAGCATTTTTAGAAAATCTAATTTATATGGTTAAAACCCCATTTTTCTAAGTTTCCTTTCTCTCTCCCTTGAACAGGGCTTCATTCAGCCCAGGTCCACCTTCCTCTGCTTCTCAAAAGATTTCTTGTTTGTTTCCAGACTTTTCAAGGTTTTTCCCTGCTCTCAGTTTGTTGCCGCTTTGTGACGTTGGGAGGTTGTTTACCTGTTCTGCTGTGTGTCTGTGCTCGGATAAAACCGCTCTTGCACCTGGGCATGCAGAGTGAAATCTGTTCACAGTGAGAGCTGGCGTGGAGGAAGGCGCAGTGGCCCCCGTGCCGGGGAGGGTGGGTGTGGGAATCCCAAGTTCATGTCCTAATGAGTTTGTTAAGCTCGTTGGGTGGGCCTGGCAAGTCATCCATTCTTGCTTTAGCTGGCTGAGCAGGGACTTAAAACATGGCTCTGAACCCCACGGAAGGCAAATGTCACAAAAACGAATGGATCTGATGGATCATGTGATGGCACACACTGGGCTGAAGCTAAACAAGTCTATTCAGCTCTTAGAAGGGAGTCAGCCTTGGAACTCCGTCCGTGTCCCTGTGACTTGGAGGGAAGAATGGATTTCCTCTAAAGCTCTAAGTTCTTGTAGCATTTCTGATTTCTTGTAAACTGCCTGGAGCTTATGGGAGTAGGGTGATATCTAAACATTAAAATAAATGATATAAAATCGTGTTAAATAAGGACAGATAGAAGCCATCTTCAAATATTTGGAGGCGTGTCCCCTAGGAGATGAAATGCATTTGTTTTGAATTGCTGTGCCGAAAGCTTGCAGAAAATCAGCCAAGTCCCTCTGGGTGGGATGGTGTAACATGGTGTCCTGTAACAGCAGGGGGTGGACTCAATGGCCTTCCTGACCCTTTCCGACTCTTCTGTGATTCTAAGTCCACTTTGCCTGGGGTCCCAGTGCATCCTCCTAGGTTGCTCCAATGGTCACCACCCGTCTTCCACTTGCCACAGCGGGTAACTAAGTCATTACTAAGGTTTCGGTGAGCTCGTATTTGGGCTCCACTGCTTTTGCTTTCAGCCCTGCCCACTCCTGGAAGCTATGTTCCAAGGGGTTCTCCGAAATAGAATGCCACCCTCACATGGAAAAAAGTTTGGCATGTCTTTTCCAAGAGCAGAATAGGAACGTATGGGTTGATAGGATATTGGATTTTAGCTGAATATTAAGAAGAAATTACTGGATGTGTGAATTGTTGGACTCCCTGGGAAGGTGGTAGATTCCGTTGCTGGAGGTTTTCATTCGAGGCTGAAACACGGATGCTGTAGCAAAGTTTTCCTGCGTCATCAGGGGGTTGGACTAGCTGACCTTCCAGGTGCTTTCCAAACTGGTGATTCTGTGAAATGTAATACATGCATTGGCTGGGTCATGTTGAAATGGAATCTAGACAAGGCAAATGTTGTGGTCTTCAACAAATGCCGTTGGTGATACAAGTGCAGGAATGCCGATGTTTGTAAGCAGGACACAATTTTCCCTAAGGTGGGCTACTCACATTCTTCGCAGGGGGCTGACTTAAAGAACAATATGGTACCTGGGGATTTAATACGATTAATTGGCACAACAAATATAGGTTCTGTGGTAGCAAATGAAAAGTACTGATGTGACAGTGTGTAACTTTACACAACAACATGCTTTTTTGTCCAGAAAATGTGGGAAAGTGATATTACTGAGTCATAATGTCACCTTTCTAGTAAAACCGTTATGTATAAGTGACAGCACTCTTAGGAAATACCATAGTACGTTTTCTCCTTCATTTTCTGACAAATTAGATTATATCTTTGCTTCATATACATGTGCAAAATGTTAAAGCAATCCTATATCTGGTTAGGGCTTCCAGCAACCTGTGGAGAGGAATGTGTTTTAGTTGCACTCTGCCCAATGCTGCCTGAACCTCGTTCTTCCTAGGCCTGACATGCAAACAGGGCAGCCTACGGGATATGTAGAGCCAGACTAGCCATTTTTATGGCTGCAGATTCCCCCACATTTCCCATCACACTTCTTAGTCACTTCTGCCGTGCCTCCTACACACTTCCACCCCTTCCGATCTCTCTGCCACGGCATTTGCCGACTCTCAGTAGCACGTGGGGGTGGGAAGAATAGCCAGCTTTCTGTTCAGCAGGGCTAGCGCTATGGAATGGTTTTTGTTTGTGCTAAAATGTGGTTTTAATTTTTTGGATGTCATTTCATGATGCTTTTATGTGATATTGTATGTCATTGTATGTCACTGTATGTATAAAGAAAGCTTTGGCATTTGGGCAAGGCTGAAATGAAATGAAATGAAATAAATAATCAGCAGTTGTTTCAGGGCTGCTGGGACAGGGAAATGGGTTCCTCAGCAACTGCAAAACAGCTCAAATGGTTCTCGTTCTCTCTCTCTCTCTCTCTCTCTCTCTCTCTCTCTCTCTCTCTGTAGGCATCTTCTCTGCACGCTGGAGTATATGCATATGCACACATGTATAAGTTTGTGTGTGGTACCCAAGAGCTCCCCTGCAAAACTGCATTTGGCTCTTGGGTCAGAAGGCCGTGCTTTTGATGAAGGCCAATTAACCATAGCCAAAAGCACCTTTTATTTGCTCCAGAAAATCGACCCCACACGAGTCATTCATGTCCCAGCTGCTTCCAGGCTAAGGCTATTACAATACACTTCCCTGAAGCAGCCTTTAAACTTCTTGAGTGAATATGATCCAGACTTGCTGTTCTGCTTGTTTTTTAATTTGCTAGGAAAGCCTAGAACTCAGACACTTCACTGGAAGCTAAACTTCGGTTCTCCATGACGGCAGCTTTCTGATGAAATCAAGGCTGAACATTAGAAGGCTCTCAATGAAGCTTTGCACGTGTCCGGTGGGCTTGTTCTCACAACCACAAGCTGCAGCCTGCTTTGATTTTTGTTTTTAATGTTTGCAGTGCTTAAGGTGCATTGATGCTTGAACCCTTTCCGAAGAGCCTAGGTGGCTGAGCCGGGGGATTTTAATGAATGAGGAATTAAGTGGGAAGTGAGGAGTTTCTGGTGAGGGTGAGGTTGGGAATGTGGAATCCGCTGGGGAAGGTGAATTTATCGCTAGCGTTCCCTTGTCTTGAGCATCCTTTTTGGACGTCTCCTTCCACGTGATGAAACAGGCAGGCTTGTCTCGTGGGAGAGTCTCTCTGTCTCGTGATGCAGGACTGTTGATGAAACAGTTGCGGGAATGGAATGGACACATGCCAGAGACTTAAGGAAATGGAATGCCGATGGAGAAACCGGGGGCGTTGTTGTTTTTAATCCCAGGAAGTAGAAGCTTTTGATGGAATGGTGGGCAGTGTTTGCCTTTTGCGAAGCAAACCATTCCCTGTGATTCCCTGCTTTCATGTATGTCCCTCCCTTTCTGCCAAGTTGTGGGGTGTATGATCTTCCTGAAGAAAGAGGGCAGCAGGTTTGGGGAAGGGACAACTAGGCTGGCTCAGGAATGTTGCCCCATGAAGCATGCCCAGGGGGCATCTTTCCCGTGAGCTTAGGACTGTTTTCTTAAACAACCAGTAATGTCAACAGTGGACAAATGACCCTGTTTTTCAGTGCTGCATTGCTCACACCCAGAGCCATTGTGGCGTAACGGTGAGTGTTTGCAGTGGGACTCAGAGACTGGGGTTCTCGCTGCCACCGGGCTGTTGTGAGGAAGACAGGGAAGACGGTGCACCACATAAGCCAACTTGGGTTCCTTGCAAGGGGGAGAAAAGCAGATATAAATGCAATGTGGTAAACCATTAATCATAGCCATGATTCTCTCCCAGTGCTGCCTTGCTGACTTGGTGACCTCCCAGATGTGTTGGACCTGTAATCCCCATTATGTTCAGTTGGTTCTCTCACTTAATCAAGGTTCTTTTTTCCTTTCTTCCTTTGCCAGGTTAACCTGAATGATTCACACAACCAGATGGTAGTTCACTGGGCTGGAGAGAAGAGCAATGTGATTGTAGCCTTGGCTCGGGACAGCTTGGCTTTATTGGGCCCCAAGTTAAGTGATGTAAGTGTTTCCTTTTGTATGAGCTCCTCCCATTCCATCTTTCATTTCTAGGGAATAAAATTTAGAGAATGGTGTTCTGACCAGATTGTTTCTTAACGCTGATTATTGGTGGCTGCTTCATTTTGTTCACACTTAAAGCAGGATTAAAAAGGGTTCCACTTGCATGTGAAAAAATTCTCCTTACTGAATAGGGGTTTGTCATGAAATTGAAGGCATCGAGAACTTACTGGAAAGCTACTAATTGAGAAAGAGAGCTAATTCCCAGTATTCCCTACCTCCTCTCCCTGGAATATCTCTTGTGAGCTTCTCTTTCCTTTCTTCACTGCCAGGTGTACTTCTTTATTATGGGAATGGATGCCAAGATGAACAGATTGTTGTGGCCAGAGGGGCACCTTTAAAGCATGAGGTGTGGAAGAGCCAATGGCTAGGGGTGAAGCCAAGCCTTTCCCAACGGTGGCCCTGAAACGTTCGTGGGTTACAGCTCCCTTAATTGCTGCCCACTAATTACGCTGGTTTGGGATTAAGGCAGATGGGGTCAGGGTTGATCAAGGCGGATTTAGCAAAGTGCTGTATAGATTGCAAGGCAGCCTTTGTTTTGGAGTGATCCATGCTGCCACTTTAACTCTCTAGCTTGCAAATCCACCTCAGTCAAAGAAGCTTTATAATATACAGATTATAAAATGCATTCTTCCTCTTTTGCTCGCCCTTGCCTCCTCTCTTTCTCTATAAAGTTGATGTTCAGAAGCATGGCATTTCACACCATTTTCTCCACTGTTTTAATTTAGATTCTAAGCTTCTTCAGAGCAAGGTCCCCCCGCCTCTGTTTCTACCATTCTGTAAATACTGAAGATAAAGTAATGCTAAATAAATACTAAAGTAGTACTAGTCCTAAAGCACTGCTTTAGTATTTACTTCAGTGCTAAAGGTAATAATATCAATAATAATTCTGCAATGGTTCTTTAGGAACAAGAGTTTGGCACTGTGCCATAAGATGGGGAAGGGAGGCCCTGGATATTCACTCCCAGAATTCCCTGCCAGCATGGCCAGTGGTCATGAATGATGGGAGGTGAACTTCAGAATATCTGCATATCTGTGTTCTGCGTGTTCCGGCAGTAGCAGATGCCCAGCCCCTGCTCTGCGGCTCTTCTTTCCTGCTGCCTGCAGGCCCTTCCCTTTGCTGCTGTGACGAGCAATGGCCGTCCTGGCATGCTCTCCCAGGCACAACGAGCAGTTCCGTTGTTGCCTCTCTTTCTGCTCTCCCCGGTGCTAGAAAAGCGATGCCAGGAAGTCCTGAGCAAGCAGACTTCTCCACGGTATGTAACACTGCCGCCTTTCTTTGCTAGGTCTACGTGTCTTATGACTATGGGAAAACTTTTAAAAAGATATCGGAGAAGTTCAATTTTGGTCCAGGGAATAGCAGCCAAGCCGTGATCGCTCAGTTCTACCACAGCCCAGCTGACAATAAAAGGGTAAGGAAAAAAGAAAGAAAGAAAGTCAAAATGAAGGATCCCTGTGGTTACCTTCTAGTTTTAAGAGGGGGTGCTCCTGAAGATTGATTGATGGATTGATTGATTGATTGATTGATTTTTCTATAACCATAGGTGATGGGCAGTTTAAAAGAGATTAAAACCTACAAGGATTAAAACTTCACTAAAAGCCAAACTATTCAATAAAACTGCCCTGGGAACCAATCTGGGAAGGACAGTTCAGACGAGATGCATCTTTAACTCTTTTGTGCACCATCTTGAGATTTTTGGAAAATACAAGATCGCACAGAACGTTAAAATGTAAATAATACTTCCCCCTCTTGAAGCTAGCAGTCTGGGATATCCAACACATCTCTCCTGGCAGAACCTTCCACAGTTTAGGGGCTACCACTGAGAAAGTCCTTTGGGTAGAGCATGGTAATCTTACACAAGCAGACTTCAGAGGATCATCCCCAGAGGACCTTAAGTGGGTGCAGTGGAATTTATGGGCAGAGGTGCTTCTTGAAGGGGTTTTGGATCCAAGCCATGGAGAATTTTAAAGGCTGTCTCCTCACGCCACTGCCATGTTTCTCCTTGGCTACTGCCACTTCGTTCTTCCTCTGCTGGTCACGTGGGTGATCTAACCCAGTTTGGGATGATGTCACAAACATAATGGTATCTTGAGCCATGATGTGGCATTTGAGGCAATGATGTCAGCAAATGTCATTAATGGTCCTTCACTGCTGTCGCTCTTGACACTTGATTGGATTATTAATTGGTATTGTCAGGCCTGCTAAATCTAGTAACCCAAGTGAAAGGCAGCGGTGGCCACATTTTACTGGTGGCTAACATAGTAACTGTGATTCTGTAATGGGGTTATTTTCCATTTTTGTCATCGCTTATCTGGATCTAGCCTCCAATGAGGAATGATTTGTGTAGAAATGTAACTTGTACCGGTACGCCTCCTTATGTCAACATTTGCTCCTGGTAGTACAGAGTCTGCCACATTTAAGAGCAAACAGAGAAGGACTACCGATGTATCATGCAGGCAGAACAATGCAAATCACACTGACTGCACAGACGTTTGATTCATATTAATGGGTTTTTGCAGCTGAGGATTATAAATTGCATTTGAACAGGAAATCTGGCTGTCATTTCTATGGGGGGTGGGCTGGGGGAAAGGGGACAGAATTTATTTATTTATTTATTTATTTATTTATTTTTGTACTTCCCGCTAGCCGAGGCTCTCTGGGTGGTCCACAAAAGTCAAACTTAAACAAACGTATAAAAACACCCACAAACATGCGTTTAAAAGAGGAAGACCACAATGACAATTGCAATGGCTTGGATTCAGCATTGAAGGCAAAGCTAAAGTCCCCAGTTTGTAAAAGGTTAATTTCCCTCTCTCAAACAGAGGCTGGGTGATTGTCTCTTGGCGGCAGATGGAAGCCACCCAGTAACACTTCCCTAACTATTTGCTTTCCTGGGACTAGAACAAAGCCACTGCCGCTGCTATCTCTTCCACGCCACATTGGTCTCGAGGTTCAAAGCCCACAACAGCCAGGAGTCAGGTTGCTGAAAGAATTATCCCCTCTCATCCATACCTGCCAGACTTAAGATTGTCCCCAGCGGTCCTTGTCCGAGCCCCTGCAAAAGGCTGAGTGGCTACGAAGAAGAGGGCCTTTTCTGCTCTGGCACCCTGGTTGTGGAGGAGATGTGGAATCTCTATGGTTGTGGAACTTACAGGGTACACTTTCCAGCCTCTGCTGAAGACCTCCCTATTTCCCCAAGCATTTTCTTCTGTCGTTTCCTGTAAAAAACTGGCTTGCTATTTTGGTTGGTTCCCTGGGAGCAATGGCATGTCAGCTGAGTGTAGAGGAGGGCTGCAGGACCTCAGCCCAGGGGCAAAATCCAGCCCTCTTGGGATTCCCAGAGGCCATACTCACTTTCCCCAGGCTGTTGATCATTCAGTGGCTTCCCAGATTCAGTGCAGCCCCTCTTTTCCCCTTCTAGAAGGCTGAAACCGCTCTTATGGCTTAGTCCCTGGCAGGAAGATCTCGAGGCTGAAATATGGTGGCAGTTTTGGCTTTGCCCCTTTTGCCTTTAGCTCCACCAACTGTTGGAGTGTAGCCCTCAAGGCCTCCTTCAGAATGGAGGTGAGGTTCAACACCTTTTCTCTAGGCAGTGCCGCAGAATCCTGCACGAATGGATTCCACGGTCAGGCCAAAAATGGTAGCTGCCGACCAACAACCTCTCCAGCCTGCAGGAAGGGTCAGGAGAAGAGACCAAGGAGGCTTTGGTGCCTTGGCCATCCAGCTGCCGCGCAGCCTCCAGGTGTTCTCCCGGGTTAGGAGCTGGGGAGCGGCAGCTGGAACTGCCTGGAAGAGTCTCACCCGCCTCTGTAGCTGCAAAGTCTGTGTGGGAGATGCAGCTGCAGTGTCCTGTGTGTTGGATGAAGACGTCCCTTGGGGAGGTGGCATCTCAGCGCAAAGGAAAGTTGGAGTGCAAGTGGCTGGCCCCCCGTGGAGAAAAGCCAGCCATTTGCCCAGTGTGGTGGGGCTGCTTCATGCTGGTGCCTTGCCGCATCCTCATGAGCGTGTGGCCCCAGAAGCAGGTAAAGCGGCCATGAAAATCTGCCCTGCCCAATCAGCAAGCAGCTCTGGATGGCTGAAAGAGGTTCCTTTCCTGCTCTCCTTCCCTTCCGCAGTATATTTTCGTCGATGCCTACGCTCAGTATGTGTGGCTCACAATGGACTTCTGCAAGACAGTTCAGGGCTTCGCCATTCCATTCAAAGCAGCCGACCTGCTTCTGCACAGCCGGCTTCCGAACCTGGTTTTGGGATTCGATCGGTCCCATCCCAACAAGCAGGTGAGTCCCTCTTGGGGAGCCTGTGTGGATGTTTTTCTGGGCAGGGAATGAAATGCCCATGCAGCCCTGCGTGCTTTCTGCCTTAGAGCAGAAGCTCTTTTGCAGCTGGAACCCATCTTTGGTTTCGGCCTCCCCGTGTTGGATGCTATCATAGGGCCAAAGACCATCGTAACATCATAGGTAACGCGTTTCCAAGACGTTGGTGCAGGAAGACCTTTTCAGAAAGACCCACTTCTGGGGAGTGGGTGGAAGGATGCCCCCTGTGGAGAAGGGACTTGTCCCTTCCCAATTATGGTCATCTTTTGGCGAAGGCCATTGGAAGGGCAAAGGAGGGCAACTAACTCCATTGCTAGGCATTTCCGGGGGCTCTCCTTGCATTAGGTCCTTGGGCAAGTTGTGCTTTTGGCCTTGCCACTAAGCCTCCTGGGAAGTGAGCGCTCCATGACCAGCTGCGACCACTGTGGCAGCTGTTTCATGAATGGGCACCCTTCCCACGGCAGCCATCTTGCCAGAGAACCCGCAGCAGGCTTTCCCGTTGCGGTTGTTCCATGACACTTATATCCCGCCTCTCTTCCTCTTGCAAGGAACCCAGGGCGGCTCGTGTGGTTCTCCTCCTCTCCATTTTATCCTCACAGTAACAAGCCCGTGAGGCAGGCTAGGCCGAGAGTCCCTTCCTGCCCCCCAGTCACCCAGTGGGCATCATAGCCAAGTGGGGGCTAGAAGCCAGATCTCATGGGTCCCAGTCCAGCGCTCTGAACCACTGTGCCACATGGTGTTCCTTGAACCCAAACAGTACAATGTTTTCCTTATGTTGCAATATCACTGCATTGCACCAGCTGGATGTCCATGGCAGGTACTTGCCGTCCTGGGGCAGGAGCCCAGCACAGAGTAAGTTGGAAATCGGGACAGAGGAGGAGAGGAGCACAAGACACGTGCCTGCCCTTTTTAGCGGCACTCACGTGTTTTGGGTAGTGTGTTGTCCCAGCCGGCACGGTGCGCTTTCCCGGCGCACGCAGGCCCATAGGCACAGAAGAGGGAACGTTCCACCAATCCCCGGCCACTGATCCAGGCCCCTTTGTGTCGTTTTTGTTTTGCTGCTTGTGGAGGCAATGCCTCGGGCAGCTCTGCCCTCCTCTGTCCAACCTCATTGTGAGCAAGGCCTGCTGAAATAAGAAAATAGGCCAGTCTCCCCGCTCGCTCACCCCCGGGAAGAAGTGTCCCTTTGTTCCTTTGCAGGCCTGGTTTGCATTGTTCTCACGCCGGGCTTGAAATGGGCAGGGACCGGGAGGCGGAGAGACGCCAGACAGTTAGCTTACTGTGTTGCCTTGATATTTGGCAGGAATAACAATGTTTGTCTTTCATGGTCACATACCGGCATTTATGTGGTTTTGCTCTCCCTACGGGGTTTGGATGCTTGCTCCGCCATAATTGCTGGATGGTTGATGCCCTGGGGTTGTGCCAACTTGGAGACAATCTCTCACCTTTCCTGGGCAAGAGAATACTCCCCACCCCTCAAAATAAAGATATAAAGCCGCTCACAGCAACGTATCAAGAGAAGGAGTTATGTTGCTTTGTGGTGGCTCTTTATTCCCCCACCCTGCTGAAAATATAAACCTTGGAATAAAGAGCAAATTCTGTTTGTGTCTTCCACCAAAGGGAAATTCACCAGTGGGACTCGTAACAGAACCTTGCTGTGTAGACTGCTCCTATTCGCCAGCCAGCCAGCCTGCCCTGTCCTTGTCAAAGATACATCATTTCCCCTCCCTCTCCATTTTCTCTCTCTCCTCACCGTGCAGTAACTGTTGGAACTCTCTGCCCGCTGGCCATGCTTAATCCTCATTGATTCCTGTCCGAAATGGTTGCTTTCTTCTGTCCAGCTTGGTGTTCTTCCCTGAGTCTATGGATTCACCCCTCTTGTGGTGCCACCACGCTCATTGCCGGGCATCAGGAAGGGAGGGAATGGTTCACAGATGGATCCTCAACACATTTTCTCGGAAAGACCTCTCTCAAGGCTCTCGCAGCCTTGTCTCCATGTAATTGCAGCTCATGGCATGGATCAGGGCTAAGGCCTTGGACTGGCCCTTTCAGTCTGGTTCTTCTAGCAGAATCCCGGTTTATTTTCCCATGTTTTCATTTTGCAGCTCTGGAAATCGGATGATTTTGGGCAGACATGGATAATGATTCATGAACATGTGAAATCATTTTCTTGGTGAGTTGTAACAATCGTCACGGGCCTCTGAAAGTTCCCGGGAACAACTTGTAAGCTGTCAGTAAAACACGACAGTCGCTGTCTGTCCAGTTACAATCTTAATTAACGTAAAGGGGCTAGAGAGGAAGAAGAAGAAGAAAAGAAGTAGCCTTTCAGCAGGGCTTGGTGTAATGGCCTCACTTTCTCTCTCGTGTGGCAGTAATCATTTTGTACCTTGTGAGGATGTTGTTAGCAGCAACTTAGCAGATGGATGTGAAGCAGCCTGAGCTTCATAATATGAATCTTTTGTGCTTCTTCTTCTCATAAGGGGCATTGAACCGTACGACAAGCCAAATACCATTTATATAGAGCGGCATGAACCGACACGCTCCTCCACTGTTCTTCGGAGCACCGATTTCTTTCAGACCCGGGAAAACAAAGAGATTCTTCTGGAAGAGGTTGAAGACTTCCAGCTCAGGGACAAGTATCTATTTGCAACCAAATCTGTGGTAAGGGCCCAGCTGTCCAGCTGTTGTTGAGACATTGTTTGTAACAGCCGCAAACAAAAGCTTTGTTTTGACCTTTTAGATTTGTTTCTGTTTTTATTTTGTTCTATTAACCCCTGCAATAGCATATTCATGAGAAAAAAAGCAGCCCTGTGGGGAGCCAAAATCACCTTCATCAAGATGGTTGGGGGACCACATCTGGCTTTGAGAGAAGGGATTTGAAACATGGAGCCAGCTGTGTACCTGGCAGTGTTCTTCAAGGGCTGCTCCGTTCGCGGTAGAAGAATTGGAGGGAATGAGCTGCGGGCTTCAAAGGAAAGAGGGTCTCTCTTGACTTGTGTTTGTAATCCGAGTTTATGGTCTCCTCGCTGGTGGCAGGAAGGCGTCCTGATGTGTAGGGTTAACAGACCAGCCTTCCCGAGTCCAGTACATCTGGGGGGCTCCAAGCTGGGAAACAGAGAATCATAAGGCAGTTTGATCCAAATGCAGAATTTTCCTGGACGTGATATTCAACTGTTAGTGGTTAGTGCCAGACTCCTTGTGCTAAGACTTAACAGCACCTCTTCTTCCTGGATGCCCCCTCCTGAGAAAACACACCTCCTGAAATGGGAATTATTTTCTGAGAAGGTCTCTCTGAGACCTGGGTTCCTGTCCCGGTCCCAGAGCGCCTTTCTGAGGACAAAAGGAAGGACATGTTGGTCCCCCTGAGCAATTTGTGGGAAGGATGGTGCAAATATGCAGCAAAGAGGAAAGTTAGCCTTGGTTTTCACCGACAATTCAGGAGCTGGCAACCACAGAAACCATTTCCGTGGTTTTGATTTCAGCACTTCAGGCAGAACTAGGTCAGGGTGAAATGCTGCAGGAAGTGGGAGGAAGGTTTAGATGCCGGAAAGTAAGAAGCAAATAAAAATGGCAGGAGAAGCAGGGCAGCAAAACAGAAGGGTGTCATGCGAGAGGGATGCTGAGCGGGAGGGAGGCGACTTCCTAGTTTGCCCTCTCTGGAATCATTGTGGAGAGGTGCAGTCCGGGGGTTCTAGAGCACAGGCAGGGTTCCGGGCTTGGCCCTGGGGAAAGAAGCGCAGAGCGCTCCGTGCTCAGAGAGCCCCTGCGGAGGTAGGCCTGGCTGGATGGGCAACCCCTCGTGGTGTGGAGCGGGGCCGCCTTTTGCAGAGTTGCCATAGCTCCGGCCCGTGTGCAGTTCCCTGTCCCAGCATCTCTGCTGAAAGGGTGGCTGCTCGGGGAGCCCTTTCTCCATGGAGCAGACAGCAACTGGGCCCAATTCAGGGTGGAGCAGCTTCATCCTTCACCCGTGAGAAGGACGTGCACAGAGGGAATCCCCCTCCTTTTATTCGCAAGCCAGCAGAAATACCCCCTGGCACAGTTACAACATTGTGGCATCTCTTGGCTAGCAAGCAGGAAGTGTGTGAGGATTGGCTTAGGCTGCCGTCCCAAAACCACAGTTACACAAGCCATCCCACTGAAACTAATGGAATCATTTGGGTTTGGGATTTGGGGGGTTGGAGAGATTAAGCGCTTCCTGGCTGACTCACGAAGGAGTCTGTTGGTGTTGCTTATTCAGAAAGTCTGCTGAAATAGTTTAGGTAGATGCAGACCTACGAAGGAACAATTTCTTCTTACGCTATTCTAGACACTTGAAGCGCACCTAAAATATAAAAGAGGGAAACTCAGAAGAGGCACCTTTCTCCTTGCTTGCAAAAGCTTTCTGTTTAGACAACCAAAGTGTGAAGGCGAGTGGCACTTTCCAAGTAAATATTTCAAAAAGGATAATATTGTTTTGGAAACTTCCAATGGAAGATACCTTATGACAGGGTGGACAACGTTGGTGGATATTTCATTCTCTTGGATGCCTGTTCTCTGAAGTCTGGGATGCTATGCCCTGAGCAAAAATATGGATAGTAGCTTATAAAGAATTTGCTACTTTCTGAATTTGTCCATCTTGGTCAAATCTTTAGCAAGTGCTTCATCTTGCTGAAACTGCTGATTTCATTGCTGCCACTACTACTGAGTTTGGCAGCATGAGGGAGCACACCAGTGGCTGTTGGAAGCCATGTATCATCTTCCTCTGCCCTGTGGCATATATGCTCTTGCCATGAATTGCCAAATGACTGTTTCGGGATTTCTTTAAATGTGGCATCAAAATGTAGCTTGCAGAAGATCAGTGGAATGTGGAAAGTTGGGTGCCTGTGAGGTTGATGCTTTGGAGAGGTTCTTATTGTAAAGCCTCTGCAGGCGATTTCAGATACAGGATTAAAGTGATCCTGACTTTCGGGGTTACTTCCTTTTCTCTCTTTAATTTTTCAGCACCTTTTGGGTTCGCAGCAACAGACGTCAGTTCAGCTCTGGGTATCTTTTAACCGCAAGCCGATGCAAGCAGCTCAGTTTGTGACGAGACACCCCGTTAAGGTATTGAGGATCTGAAGGGGAGTGAGAGAACACACAAGGCTGATTTGTTGCTTCCTAGAATATACAGATGGACCTGCGATAAAATTGGCTGTTTGAAGGCAGTGCTTCTGTTCAGAATTCCAGCCAGTCCTTCTCCCAGGATATCCCATTTTGTTCCTCCTCCCTCGTGGTGTTTCATTCCTCCTTGTCCCCCACCCCAACAATTAGTCAGAATTCCATACTCATTGAGCTAGCAGTGTCCCCACTGGGAATCCCCACTCCACAAAAAATATTTTATTAATTAAACTGCATTTTCCACAAGAGAAAACCTCCCCGCCCCCCGGTTTTTGTTTGTTGTCATAACCTTTACAAAGGCAGTACTGTTACACCCATTTTACAGATGGGAGAAACTAAGGCTGGGAGAAAATGGCTCACCAGAATTCACGGCAGAGGTGTGAGCTTTGAACGTGGGATTTCCTGGTTCACAATTCACACTTCCAGGCTGCCGTGACAGCTCTCAGGTGCTTTCAAGTAGAAAGAAGAAAAAGCAGTTTTTCAAACTTTGTCTTGAAGGAATACTATATCGCGGACACCTCTGAAGACCAGGTGTTTGTGTGTGTCAGTCATAGCAACAACAGCACCAACCTCTACATCTCGGAAGCAGAAGGCCTACGGTTCTCCCTGACTTTGGAGAATATCCTGTATTACAGCCCAGGAGGAATGGGAAGCGACACCTTGGTGAGGTAAGGAGACTGCAGCCTAGTCAAGAGAGAGTTGAACTTCCGGGGCCTGCCCTTAACCGAGAAGGGGGAAGTGCCCCGAGGCTCTGCTTGCATTTCTCATGCTGTCCACTGGATTGGAGCAGGCACAGACAATTCCTGTTTGGAAAGCAATGGCCCAGAAGCAACTAATGACAAGCTGTGGAACCGCTTTAATGTGGCTTTGCTCTCCTCACTGGCCAGAGGGAACTTGGAGGGGCTGTACAAGCTGCAGCATGTCAGAGATAAGCCCTCGCCAATCTCTCCCCGCTTTCCATATACGAGAACACAGAGTCGTCCAGTGAAATTGATGGACACTGGGATTCGGCCAGATGAGAATACACAATTGCTTGAAGGTCAAAGGATTTCCAAAAGGGATTTAGATTCCTTTTGCTCAGACTAGAGGCTTTGTAGGTTCAGTTCTCACGTAATGCTGGCTGATGTTGAATTCTGGGTTTTCTTGCTGTGCGAACTTAGCCTTGCTAGTATACCATGTTATGTGTGAACCAGGCCGGTCTATCAACGAGTATTAGCATTGACAGCGAAATGGTAGCTTTAAATCTGTGGAACCTCCTTTTGAGCTTGGAGACTCCTTCCATAAGGAAACAGAGAGAAGCACAGGAAAAAATGTCCCCGGTCCCTCCCTTTCAAATTGTTATTATATGCTTTCCCTGCCGCTGGTTTGTTGTGCTTGTTTTTTGGAATGTCTGGATGCTGCGCTGATTACCCTTCAGTTTCCGTCCTTACTAGCTGGCCAACACAAGTCGTCCCTCCTTGTGGGTTGCGTGTGTGTCAGTGGTTTCTCTTTTCCTTTTTTGGCAGGTATTTTGCTAACGAGCCGTTTGCGGACTTCCACCGTGTCGAGGGGGTGCCGGGGGTCTTTATTGCCACCTTGATCAACGGCTCATTCAACGAGGAGAACATGCGGTCTGTCATCACCTTCGACAAAGGCGGGACTTGGGAATTTCTCCAGCCTCCAGAGTATACGCACTACGGTGAAAAGATACATTGCGAGGTAATGAAGCTACGAACTGAGGGCGTTTGGATGGGACGCGGACAGCCTTGTCTCTTGGTTAGGGTCAGCTCGAGCAACAGCAGCGTGGGGTGTCTGGGACTCTTGGGGGCGTGGATCATATCGTCCTAAAACTTTGCTTTGCTGCCTCCTGCCCAGTGCGGAATGAATGTGTATGGCGTGATTATGAAAGGCATTTGCAGAGCAGCGTTGCGTGCTCTGGATGGTCGGCAGGGAGCCATCTCAGTCTGCTGTGGCGTGCCCAGTCGTGCGCTCCTTTCTTCCGTCTGAAAGGCTTGGAGCGCCACCGAGGCGCAGAGGTTTGAGGGCCAGAGGCTAGTGCACAAAACCAGCAGAGCACCCACGGAGGAGCAGTGCAGGCGGCGAGGCCGAAGCGCCCAAAGGCGGGCCATCATGCACTTCCGCCACACTTCAGGGAACATGTGCACATCATCCATCCACGAAGGGGGACATGTGCACATCACCTGGTCACGCCAGACCTGAGAGAAGGTGCACATTCCCCACCTTGCCTTTGTTTTGTTTTGCTTTAAATAAGCAGTTCGCGGGGTGATTTTCATCGGGATTTGGGGGAAGACGAAAGGCTGGATCCTCCCCATCCTGGTGTGATCCCTGATCCCTGGTCCTGCTAGTTAATTAGCAGAGGAAAGGAGGTTGTGCTCACACCTTCTGCTCAGTTGACTGGGAGTGGCAAGATTGAGGGGATATGCCTGGAATTAGTCAGAAGCGTGCATGCATGAGCTGGACCCTAGCTAGAAACCATGGACTTGTTTCTTTAAGAAGATGCATATTAGCAAAAGAATGAATTTTGACAAAAGCTGATCCCATTTCCCATAGAATGTAATTGAGATGGGCGCATTCCACAATGTGGGAATTCTGCACAGTTCCTTCTGCAGGGGCAACCTATATGGGCATTTTCCATGCCGTGTCATGAACTGTGCAATGCGCAGTGCTTACAGCCGGTGCCAGTTCAATTCACGATACCCCTAACATAGACCCACTGCGGAAACAAGGCTTTACATGTGTGACCCCAGAAGAGACATTTACTTCAACCATTTGGATCTCTGTAAAACTTTTCCAATGGACCTGTTTGTATAATTGACTGAAGAGCAATTTAGGAGATTACCATGTGTTTTAATACCATCGGCTTTTTTATTGTGGCTGGGTTTTTACAGCTGCTGCTATATGTGTGTAAAGCTAGTGTATGCTCTGTTGCGCACTTACTTGGGGGTGCAATCCTACACATGCTCAGACAGGAAGAGATCCTACAATTCTCAGCCAGGGAAAGACTGAATGTAAGAGAACTGCAGATCCCTACTGCTACACGACAGCTTGTTTTCAGGCGAAGCGCTGCGTCCTTGCCTGTGGGGTGAAGCAGCTGACACGAGTGGTTTAATCTTTGCAGCTTTCCCAAGGCTGCTCCCTTCACCTGGCCCAGCGGCTGAGCCAGCTGCTCAACTTCCAGCTGCGCAGGATGCCCATCCTGTCCAAAGACTCTGCGCCAGGACTGATCATCGCGACAGGTAAGGCTTCTGTCTTCGCCTCGCCTGCCTCCCTGCCCTGCTGCACCGAATCAGGATAGCTGGAGGTGTGTCAATAGGCAGCCCCGGGGAAAGTTCCTCTGCAGAGAGGGGCGGATCCTGGCAACAGTGGGGCAGAGGCACTCTGCACTCTTCTGGGCCAGCCTTCAGGGCAGCCCCACATGCAGAGTTGTGCAGTGCTCAAGGAACTCTCGAGGGGCAGGGCAATCTCTCCATGCTTGGCCGGGCCGTGAGGAGCAGGGGGTTTCCCCAGGTGGCCACGCCCCCTTCATCTGCCCTGCCCCTTTTCCTGTAACCGCTGAGCTTTGGGTGGCTTATTGGCTTTTGCGCATCTCTCCCTACTCTGTTGTCCTAAAAGAGAGGCAGTGTGGTGTAGTGGGTAGAGTGTTGGATTGGCGCCCTGTGCACCTGGTTTCTGGTCACCTCTTGGCAGAGAAGCTCACTGGGTGACTTTGGGCCAGTCAGGCTAACCTACCTCACTAGGTTGTTGTGGGCATAAAATGGAGGACAGGAAGATTACATGTGCTGCTTTGAGCTTCCGGAGGAAAAGATGGGATATAAATGTGTAGAAATAAGGCCAAAAGGCCTTTCCTTAAGCTTAGATACTGGCAGCAAGGGCTTTAAGATAAATCATGCAGGAATTTTGGCATCGACAATGTCTTTGGTAGAATGTGGCCCTTTCTCCAAAAATGAATTTGGTCCTTGTCTTGAGAGAGGGGCAGGCTCTCTGATCCCATTGGCCAACAGCTATTTGAACTGAGCTCAGAAGGTCGTTGGGAGCCAGTGTAGGTATGGATGGAGTGGTAAGGTGTGTTTCCAGCAGTCTGTCCTGGTCATAACTCATGAATATGTGTGGGTTAGAAAGCTGCAAATTCAAAACAAAACAAAAACCACATTGCGTCCTTTTATTTAATCGTCAGGCCCTAGAATTTGCATATGTGTAGTTTTCCTTCCCCCACAACAAAGATCCTAGTAAAACAATCAGACTTCTCAAATACTGTGCAATTCTATCATTAGCCCCTTGCTGAACAGTATGAATTGGGCAGGGCCAGGCTGAGCAAAGAAACGCTGCAGCTCATGTGCTTGTTCCTTCAGGTTCTGTGGGCAAGAACATGGCAAGCAAGATGAATGTGTACATTTCCAGCAGCGCCGGTGTGCGATGGCAAGAGGTAAGGGATGCACTGTTTTTCAAGCATCTGCACAATGCTTTTCCCCGATCCTGGGGCGGTGTAGAAAGGGGGCCATGAGAAAACCATGTGCATTATGGGCAACTCTGCAGCCATCCTGGTTCTGCCCAGTCTCACTCTTTGCAATCTTAGTGAACAATGCAGGAGAATTAATCGATGTCCCCAGGTATGCGGGAGCTGGAGAGTAAATGCATTCTCCCAAATGGCCCTGGGTATTGATGGCTTCCATGGAGCCCAAAGTTCCTGGTCCTGCCTAATCTTGGAAGCTCAGCAGGGTCAGGCCTGGTTAGCATTTGGATGGGAGCTTGAGCCCAGCATTAAGCAGCAGGGTGGACCTGAAGGCCTTCTAGGTCCCTTCCAACTGTATGGTTTTATTTTATTCTAGATTCTGGACCGAGCCCCACTGTTGTACAATTGCCAACAGGGGATGCTAGTGGAAGACCATCCACTTTGCCAAGTGGTGCTAGGAAGACCCTCAGTGGGTCCAGTTAGTCTGGTATCGGTGACACTGACTGGTAGCAACCCTCATGTGTTTCCCACGGATTCTTTCTAGCTGTACTGGAAGATGCCAGGAATTGAACCCTGGCCGCATACAAAGCAGAGGCTCTGTCTCTGGATTTGGAACAGGGGTGCAGGAGTAATTTGGTTTAGTTTATTCTGATCAGGATCTGTCCCAACTCAGCCTTGAATGCAATCTTCCAAGCTTGCCTTTTCATTCAAGACACCGAAGAATGCATTCAACAGAAATGTACACAAATGTTCTTTAATCTGTGGAAAAGAATATGTAAGTTTCAAAAATATGCACAACTAATGGGTATATTTGGGGAAATGCACACACATTGCCATGCAAAGGGGAGGCCTTCCCTGCAAAAGTCTCACAGCCTGACATGTGCTTGTACCGGAATGAGCATCAAGATGGAATTTGGGGACTTTCGGTGAGCTCAACTTCAGAGTTTCTAACTTCCAGGCAGGTTTGCATCCCGGAGCCTCTCAGAAATTCAGCACAGCCCTGTTAGAGATTTTAGGGCAAAAATGCAATGCATTCCCGGACAATCACTGCTTCCGAACAAGAGGGTCAGTTAGTTTACTTTTATGTAGAAGGGTTGTGTGTTAGTTTTGGCTGTTGGCCCTTAAAAACAAAACCAAAGTGCAAAGGGATTCTCTCCCTTCGTTTTGTTTGAGCAAGGAGGCAGGGTGTGTTTGAGCAGCCAAAGGGTTTGGCCGTCTTCCCTCGGAGTGGGGCTTGGCACTGCTTTTACGAGTGCTTCTGTCTGATTGGGTGGTCTGGTCTGAAGCGGGGTTTGCGGTAGGCCTCACCAGAGCGTTGTTAGTCTAAGGCTGTGTTCTTACATCTGCAAAGTGTTTAAATGCTGTGAACACGACCACCTCACTTTCCTCCTGGAGAGCAATCCAGGTTTGGTTTGGTTTGGCCTGCACCAAGACTGGTGTGAGTACAACAGCAGAGGAAAGATTTCTGCAGTGCGTCTCCAAGATGTTAAAATGCTTGGAATGACGGATGAATCAAGCAAAGTTGCTTCCAGATGTCCTAGGAAGTGGAAATGGAGCGCAAGGCACCTTGATCAATATAAGATCCAGGCCTTTGTAAATCTGCTCATCAGAACTAGGGGCACAAAACGGTATGTGGAATGAGTCTGGCAGAAAGCAAGCAAAAAGGAAAGGAAAAACAAAAACACCAAACCAAAAACAAATCTGCACAGATCACTTGAATCAGCCTTAGAATGATTTCCAGTAGCAGCCAGGAAGGTTGATAGATTTCCACGGAGTAACATACACATACAAGTTTCTCTATCTTTGGGTGTGATGTGTACGTGTCTGTATCAGTATGAGAATTTCTGTCAGTACACAAACACAGTGCTTAAAATATACAAAGAGGGTTAATCAGGCATGGTCCTAAGTAGAAGACCTGAGACTTGGGTCCACAGGATCAAACACAACAGAACAAAATGTCCCAAAACATACACATGTGCATTTGCTTTCTGTGTGTCTTTAAAGGGCATTGTCTCCCAAGGACACCTTGTTTGTGAAACAAGGGAGGTATAGACATGAGAGAAGAGAGCACTTGATTTCAGGAAAAAATCATAAGCAGAAGATAGAAGGTGGGGCAGTAGGAGGTTAAGCACATGGGGGCAAAAAGCCCACCAGTCCAGGGGGCTCAGGTGCAACAGAGATTACCTTTATCTCTGGACCTTTATTTCAGCAAGTGCCCCTGGAAAGCAGGGTGGTGGAGCGGGGGCCTCCCAGAGATCGGGGCTCCAAATGAAAGATATGGGGCTGCAGCTCCGTGGGTCATGGCTAACATATCCTCTGGGTTTAATGCAGCGTGTGAAGCGAGAACTGTTTCAGGATTCCCCTGTAGCAGCGTCCCTTCCCAAATACCCCACTCCTTTGGTGCTTGGCTGCAATACTCACAGTAACCGGGATGGGGAATGGACTCTGCTAGCCTCAGACTAACGTTCTCTGGTGAAATGCAAAGTATTTTGGGATGGCCTCCTCTTGGAGCGAGGATGCATTTGCTTCGCAAACGATCTCCCGGTGGAGAGGAAAACTGCTGAGATGATTTTGATGAACACAGCAGGTTTGGACTCTGCCTGGAGGCATGTTGAGGGGACTGTCACACTGAGCCCCAGCAGTTTGCCAGAGCCTGGGACTAGGTGAACAAACAGGCATGCTGAGAATTGAAGGAAAGCAACGCTTTTATTAGAACGGCACTACGAAAACACACCTTGTGAGTGGCAATATGCAAAAGAGCAGGTCTGAAGAGGATGCACCCGTCTGGCAGTCTGCCAGAAATTTGTGCATGTCACAAAAGATAAGAGAAAAGCACACAGTAATTTTCCCAGTTACTCGCTCGACACTGTTTTTATAAACAACCCTCACCACTGACAGCAACATTTTGCTTACCTGAAGAGTCGAGGTTACAAGCATACAGGTGAAACTCAAGCTTGCTGTTGGTTGCTGCTTCTTCACCATTACAGAGTTGGTCTCATTCCCTTTCCTTTCCCTGCTTCCCAGCAACTTCGAAATTTACCCCTAGGGTGCTGGGCTTCCAGCCTGGATAAGGATGTGCCAAGGTGTGCAGGAGGGATGCTGTAGATGCAAGTAGAACTTTAATTGATTTGGGGACCAGATGAAGCAAGGTTGGAACTGGAGGAAGGCATCCGGATGCCCTGGGACCAGCAGCAAGGCTATTCCCATTCCTCTCTGGGTTCAGCATCTGAAGAGGCTTTCTTTTTAACTGAAATGGTGCCTCTTTCCTTTTCTACCATGCAATGCAAGCAAGGCCATTAAAGAAGAAAGAAGGAAAACCTAATCTGGATAAAAGCATTGCAATTTTTGAATAAAATGTAGAAAGATTCATTGAACTAGTTATGTAGAAAGAATCTATATCCTCATGTTAGCATATAACAAAACACACTCTTGTTACTAAAAATAATTATGTGTCGACTTCTGCAAGAACACCCCAAATATCCATATATTTATGCATTTGCATAGGGTGCCTAAGGGTCATCCATTAAAAAATGGGGAGAGTCATTAAATCTTCCCACCCTGCTCCCCACTGCGTTCCTTACGATGTTGTAGGATTAGGCTTTTAGCTGCCAACAGAAAATTGAAAACCCACCTACAGATGTTGTGTTAAATTCCAAGAGACGGGTAGGTAGTTCATAAGGATGTGTCCATTCTTTATATACATCTTGTCTTCCAGCACAAGATTCATCTGAATTATTTCCTCCTCCCCGAACAAAACTGCTGTTGGGCATTGCCAGAACATGTGCAGAAGAGAAACATTAGCAGTGCTGCATCAATTGAATCAACTGGCTGATTTAATTAAGCTCTTATCAGAGATGTTGCAGCATCCAGTCAACTTGAAACATCAATTTTCGCTGAATTACCTGTAGCCTAAGATGCACAATCACTTGCAAAATGGATAATAAAGAGGCACTCCATTGATTAGGCAGGAATGGGCTTGTTATTCTATTCGTGGTTAAGACTCTGTGCATCATATTTATTCACTGATAATAGATTTTTATGGAAATGAATTGTAGGCCGATGCAACTCTTCAGCCTCAATCGATGCTTCCAGTTACACAAGCAGCTTTGGAAATGTGGCTTTTTAATCTGGGTTTCTTGGCGTATGTTTAATAAATAAGCTAATGTGGCATCCAGTTACTTGCCATTTGCCTCTGTTCTCCTCTGCCTTAGGCACGCCTGCGGCATTTCTAAAAGCCCATTTGAACCAGTGTGAGATTGCCAGGGTGTGCGGGCCCAAGGAGAGCGGAGCCATTCCCAAAGTGTCCCTCTTGCATTGCACTCCTTGGAAATTGCCAGATGGCTGCAGCGAGCTCTGATATTTCCCCGTCATGTGCCTCTGTTTACATTTTCCATCAGGTCCTGTCTGGGCCCCATTATTACTCTTGGGGCGACCATGGAGGAATCCTCATGGCAGTAACGCAGGGAACAGAGACAGACCAGCTCAAGTAAGCAAAATATGCTTGTAAATCTGCCTGAACCAGCAGGGATCAGTAAAACAGCAGGAAATGACTTGATCGCCCCTGCTCAGGGGTTGTCGTGGATCGGTTGTTATCGACTCATGGGGTGACCGGTTGTCTGAGCCCAGGAAAACCTCAGTGAACAGCCTGCCGTTCACTATCCAGCAACATCTGCCAGGTTCCATATCTTTTTGTTTAACGGTTGGACAACGTGTCACCTTTGGGCGGTTGCTCGCCATAACTGTGGGGGAAGCCCGACAAAGCATAGCTGCGTTGCTTTCAGGGAGGAGTTAGCACATGCTTAGCTCTCTTCCACGGAGATGGAAGGGACTCCAAAATGCTTCGCTTCAGGGTGGATTTGACCCAGCGTTGCTGAAGCGAGCAAGGCTGACGAGTCAGCTTCCATTTCCCACATGTGGCCGTCTGCCCTCTGCTCCCTCTTTCCATGCAGGTATAGCACCAACGAAGGGGAGACGTGGAAGACGTTTACCTTCTCGGAGAAGCCAGTGTTTGTTTATGGCCTCCTGACAGAGCCTGGGGAGAAAAGCACCATCTTCACCATCTTTGGATCTTACAAAGAGAATGGGCACAGCTGGCTCATACTGCAGATCAACACTACCGAGGTGCTTGGTGAGTGAAGGAGGGTATGGGGTCTGTTCACTCAGCCCTTGTAATCCAAGATCCCAAATAGTACAATTGTGAACCCGTCACTGAGATCCGTCGTGGTGTAGTGGCTCGGACGTTGATTGGAGGCTCTGGGGACCGAGTCTCTAACATACGTAGCCAAGAGTAAGGAATGTTGGTAGTTGTGGCTGGAAACAGCTTGGGGGCACCGGGTTGGGGAAGGCTGCTTGAAGCGGTGGCTGTTAGAACTTCAGCCGCTATTGCAACTGGAGCCTTTGTTCTCCTGAGTGTGGTGGTGTTGATTTGTGTGTGAGTGAATCGCTGCTCCTGGGTGCCCTAACCTGCACGTGCCGCTTCTGTGGTGGATAGAGGGGGCAGTCCCTGTGGCCACTAGGCAGTGTCCGGGGGCCCAAGCGTGATTCCAATCCCTGGCTCCGAGGTCCAGCACAGGGCTCCGACCTCAGAGCTGCGCATTGCAGCTCCGTTCCGTCTCCCCAGCCCCTCACAGACAGCAGGGGAAGACCCACGCTGCCTAGGAAGGCCTCAGCCGTTCTAGGCAGCCTATAAATACACGTATCAACCAACCAACCACACTGGTTGTCCCTTGAGCCTGGGCTGGAGAGAGATTAAAGAGAGACTTCAGGGAGAGGAGGAGACAGAAGTGGCCTGGCAGTGAGTCCCCCCAACTCCTCTCCCTCTCCAGAACATCATCTTGAGACGGCTGAACTGGTCCAGGGAAAAGGCAGAGCAGGCAGAGCGGGGAGGCAAGGGTGCATAGGGCAGTAGTAAAACCACTTTCCTTGGCACTTAGGACTGCTCCGTATTATTGCTTCCCCCACTGCTTGCTCCTGCACATGTGGGCCTCCCTTCCCAGAGGATCATGGGTCTTGCATGGGTAATTAAGGCCAATTAGCTGTATGGAAGGCCTGCTCCCAGCAGAGGTGAGAATGGCTGGAATCCATTTTCCCCAGTCCAAAGAGCTGCCGCAGTTCTCCTGGGGCGGGTGGGCGCCTGTGCGGCATCCCTGCAGCTCAGCCGGTGTCCCTGTCTCAGTCCAGCCCTGCTGTTCACCCCAAAGGTGTGCCCTGCACAGAAAATGACTACAAGCTCTGGTCTCCTTCGGACGAGCGCGGCAACGAGTGTCTCCTGGGGCACAAGACGGTCTTCAAACGGCGAACGGCCCATGCCACCTGTTTCAACGGGGAAGATTTCGATCGTCCCGTGATAGTCTCCAACTGTTCCTGCACGAGGGAGGACTATGAGTGGTGAGTCCTCCGATCTCTTGCAGTGCTTTGGACATAATCCGTGATTAAGGGCGCCGGATATACCTGTAGACAGATCCGTGTATCCAAGCCTGCGTATTTGTGACCTTGAACAAATAACCCGGAGCAGCTTTCCCGACCTGCTGTCTCCCAGGTGTGCTTTTGACCGTTCCTACCCTCCTAGTCAGTCTGGCTGAGCATGAGCACGAGCACGGGCTGGGCAGAAGCTGGTCCTACAGGAAAACAGCTGGGAACATCCCCTTGGCAGCATCGCCATTTCTGGAATGGCAGTTCTAAACATTGGGTTGGGGTGAAATATAACTAAAAATTAACATATACTAGCATGGATCTCAGTCTTTATTTTATCACCATATGTAATCGGTCTTTCCCTAGGCAAACTTGGCCTAAACAACTTAGCTTTTCCAAAGAAAACAAAATTATAGCAGAAATTCATTTAATGGGCCAATGACTAGTGTTAGAGTATCTGTCTAGGGCAGAGGAGATTTGGGTTCAAATCCTCACTTGGCCCTAAAACTCACCGAGTAAGCTTGGCCCAGTTGTTGTACCTCGCAGGATCCTTGTAAGGACCGAATGGCTACTTCTATATATATAAAATCCTACTTCTACACATCTATTTCAGCAGTTGCATTTTCCTGAAAGTTTGCTGCTTTAGCTCTCCTGCAGTTAGACCCAGTGCACTAAGCAAGCACAAAGTGCACCTCAAAATAACATTTCATCCCCTCCCCTTCTCCCCCCTCCTTTCCTGGTCCAGTGATTTTGGCTTCAAGCTGAGCGAAGACCTGTCGTTACAAGTCTGCATTCCGGATCCTGAATTTGCCGGCAAGCCTTACTCTCCTCCTGTGCCGTGTCCCATTGGCTCCACTTACAAGAAGACACGAGGGTACGTACTTGAAGGGCGACGTCAAACCAGTCCGAGGCTTATCAGGTTCAGCCTTCTCTTAACACGTTGACCAGCAGCCGGTAGGAAGCCTGCAAGCAGGATGCATGTGTTGGGACACCTCCCCGCCGCCCCCCCACCCCCCGCAACTGGCATTCGGAGCAGTCCTGCCTCCACTCTTGGAGGTGACTTGGTGCATTGCATTGCATTGCATTGAATCACACACATTCAAGTGGAAAGAAAGGGCTTAGACTGGGGCGTGGTTTATCTTGCCCCGTGGAAAGGGCAGCTGCTCCACTCCTGCCTTTTGCCGCCTGGTGTTGCTGGGGGAAGAAGCAGCGAGAGTGTGCGAGGAAGTTGCAGGGCCGAACTGGAAGGAGTGTGGCAGGTTGCGGATCACCCGCTTCATGCCTACTTGGGTCTCTGCCAGCTTTGCCTCCCCGCACTCCCATTCCTTGTGCAAATGCGTGGTTGGGAACAGGCCTCCCGGAGGTAACATTGTTTAGGGGGCATGTGTGTGCCTCCATGTTCACACACGAACACAGACTGGGTCATCCCCTGTTAGAACCCGATTTGGAGTTGCGCACTCGTTCTTGCACGTTGGAAGTTTTGATGCGTTGCCTTCTTGAAATGCCATCTCTTTCCAGACCCTCCAGTTGGACCTAAAAAGTGGGGCAGGATGTTTATAGCATGATTTTATCTGCATTTAGTTAGAGAATGATATTCTAACTGGATTCAGTGGGACATTCCAGCAAATAAGGCTGCTTTGGATTGCAACCTCAGTGTCCTTGAAAACAATGCCCTTCTGTTTTTCTGTGTTAGTTATCGCAAAATATCTGGCGACACTTGCTCAGGTGGTGATATCGAAGCTCGGCTGGAAGGGGAGTCAGTTCCCTGTCCGTTAGCAGGTAAATAGAAAGGGCAATTGTAGTAGGTGGGATGAAAGTTGGGGCAGTAACTTTTAGTTAATCAACAGTGCCAATCAGTCTTCTTCAACCTAATGCTCTGAAGATGTGTCGATGGGGACAATGGGAGTTGTAGTCCAAGAAGCATAGAGGACACCATGTTGGAGAAGGTTGGACTAGACTAAATGATGTCCTTTTTAAGGAAAAGCCTTGATTCCTTTGAAGTCACCCTAACTTGTGTGGTTAAAAAAGATTGTCATATTTCTTCGCAAGTTGTGTTTGTGAATTTGGAATCCTGGTTTTGCATGTGATCCTTCTAGAGGGCCTTGTGATACATGGTCTGCTTTAGAGATGGAAGCAGGTTTAAGACTTCCAAAGAGAAGGGAACTTGGAGGAGAATGACAGGGAAGGTTTCTATGTATTGATTTTCATATTAAAGAGTACAGTAATCAAGTTCACTCTTATTTAAGCAAGACATGAAATTCGACCCCACTAATTCACTTCTTCCCAAGAGTAAAATTAGGGTGTGCTTTGCAACCTTTCTCCCGGTCTCTTTGCAGAGGAGAATGAATTCATTCTGTACACCACACGATACTCTATCCACCGGTACGACCTCTCCTCGGGGATCAGCGAAGACCTGCCGCTGACAGGACTGCGTGGGGCCGTGGCACTTGACTTTGACTATGACCGCAACTGTTTGTACTGGGCTGATGTAACACTGGATGTTATCCAGGTGAGCTTGTCCTGATGGCCTCCTGCCTGCAAGCGCATCCTGATTTTCTCTCAAGAATGCTGGCAGAAGGGAAGGTGAAGCCTTGTAGGAGTTCAAGGGAGAAGTTCTGAACAAGCAGGCATCAAAAGTGCAGGTAGAAGGTGGGGTGGTGAGGGATGCCAGCGTCAGATCTCTTTTGGAGCTGTGGCTGATCACGAGCTGAGGATGGGCCAGCACTGTGAACTGGCTGCAAAAGGGGAAAATGCAGTTCTGGGTTGCATCAACAAAAGGTTTTTCTCCCTCCAAAATCATGGGAAGGGATAGATTGCACTGTCCCTTGAATTGGTCAGGCATCTTTTTGAACGCTGACCTGTTAGGAACATCACATTTTAGGGAGGATTCAGATGAACTGGAATGAAACATAGAAACAGAGTGAGTCAGATGGGGCCTCCTGGGCCATCTAGTCTGACCCCCGGATCCAGCCGGCTTCGAGTTCAGAGAAGGGCAGCAAAGACGATCAAAACTTGGGGGAAACAAAATTTTCTAGCAGGAATATATTCTTCTGTGCTGTAAAGCCAGTATTTTGGGAGAGCCTGGTCTTGAATGGGCCATTTGGAGGCAGTAACTTTTCAAGGGCCCTGCTCTTGGAGCTGCCAAATTGGTGTGTTGTCATAGATCAGTTCAGCTGCCCGCAGTTTTTGGACTCTGTTTGCATGAGCGCAAGTGGAGGGATGGGAGAAATGACGGTGGGGATTGTCACGTGAATGCCCACACTTCAGTATTTTCCACTGCACTGCACCTGCCTGTTTTTGTGCCCAAGCATCTTTTAGGTGATCTCTGGTTTGGGCTGGACAGAGAAGCTACCTCCCGTGTTCCCCAGTCTGGTTGCACTGCAGCTCACACCATGGCCAGACCATGATGGGAACTGCTCTCCAGCGCCCCTGGAGAAGGGCACGTGCTTGAGGAGGCTGCTCGGGGGGCGGGGGTGTCCCATCTGTGTGCGTTCATCTTGCCATTAGGAGTGAGGTGATCAGGGACGTGCAGCATTCAGCTCTCCTGCTGTGCAGCCCCGGGTCTGCTCTGTGCTTATTCCAGGCTGAGCCGGCCTGTGTTTCAGACCCCTGTGCTTCCTTTCAGCGCCTGTGCCTCAACGGGAGCTCCGGACAGGAGATCATCATCAGCGCTGGCCTGGAGACCGTCGAGGCCCTGGCCTTCGAGCCCATCAGCCAGCTGCTGTACTGGGTGAATGCCGGCATTCGGAAAATCGAGGTATGCCTCTCTTTGCAGCAGGGATGCCTCGGAGCTGGGAGGGTCAAGCTGGGAGCCAAAGTGGGGAGGTCAAAGCAGGTGAGCAGGTGCGGGCTTGGAAGGTGTCTGCCAGGGGTCACCACTTCCCTTCTTCAAAGCTTTGTGTCCGCATGCTATAAGGGGCCTGATTCTGTAGTCTCAGCACCGTATAAATGGTGCCTATCAGTGGGTTTTCCCATAACAGAACATGGGTTGTGAGGTTTCTTGCTGCTTGCTCCAGATGCCTTTTGTGAGCTTGTGGGAGGATCTACATCCAGCCAAGCCATTTATGTAGAATAGGTCTGTCTCGGCGACTGTCAGCTATGACCCTGAGATGGAGCCTCCATGGATGGCTGCAGTCTACATCAGCATAGCAGCCACTTAGGACAGGCCTTCACGCTCAGCTTTGGAACTTCCTGAGGTTTGAAGCAAGATGCTAAGGACCTTCATCTCACCCAACAGGGGAGAGACATGTCCTCTCCCTGCTGCAAGCATGTGCACGAATGGAATTGGTTGTCCATGTCTGGAAAAGCTTCATTTATTGAGTCAGAGAGCAGAAACAATCCCAGAAACACATTATGCACCGCAGTGCCCCATCAGCCCTGACACATTTGCCGGTTGATCGTGGTCTGCGTGAGACTGCCCAGCGACTGCTTGGCAACCAAGGCCATTTACTTTAATAAGGTTTGGTGTGTGCCTGCCTGGCAAACCAAATAAATGAATGGATTTATCAGAGCTGCTTGCAGGAAGCAATTTGCCGAGCTTTACAGAGTGCATCTGGGGTTTATATATAGCCATAGAGTCAGCGACGTATTTCAGTTTGTCTCATTGCATGGCTGTGCTGCCTTATAGCCCAAGCTGTCTGGGCAGTTTGCAGACAGCAAAATCCTGAAAAATACAATACTGTACTTGATGTAAACACTGCTTACACGTAAGCATATAAATAGGCAGTGAGTATTCACACTCCTTAAACAGTTTTAACAATCAACTGTAAGTAATCCAGGAGGCAAATTAAAAACCTCATCATGCATTGCCAAATGCCAGAGAATAGAAGAAGGTCTAAACCTGCCACCAGAAGTTAACTGTGGTGGACCTGGCTGGGACAACCATTCCATCATCGGAGCCACCACCAAGAAGGCCCTCTCCCCTTGGGCCACCTCCTGAGCCTCCCTTGGAGGAGGGCCATAGATGATCTGTGTAGTATATAGGCAGGGTCTTGCTGGGAGAGGGACTCTCTCATGTACTACCTTTCTGAGCTGTGTACCTTGCAAAGCAAAGGCTTCTGCTTCATGCCCAGCTCTTAGCCAGCCCTGCTTCTCTTGTCCAGGTGGGGCTTTAAGGCAGGGCAAGTGAAGTGCAGATCTGGATGCGCAGGTTGATCTCTGGGGAATGCACAGGTGTTTCCAGCTCCATACACAGCACTGAAATAGGCATTGCCCTGAACTTTCTAGATGAAGATGCTGAAACGAGGAACATCTAGGGCAGGGGCTGGCAATGTGGCAGGTCCCGGGGTCATTTTTCAGGTCCAGGACTTGTGTTATTTTTGATACGAGCTCTTATTAAAACAACAACAGGGGGCAAACCAGATTAGTAAGATGAAGTATTCCTTCTTGACCGACACTTAGGGGAAATGCTTCTTCTCAGATGACACAACAACACAGCTGTGTGTGTTCTAAAAAAAGAAAGTGTGATTCATGCTTCAGCACCACAGTTTGCTATGTATGTGGATGTTTGCAGCTGAGCAATAGATGAATCAACTGAAAATAGATTTATCAACCTAGATGTCTTTAAATTGGGTGGTGGTCTTAAGAGTTGGCCAACCCCAGTGGGTAGAAATGCGGCCAGTGGAGTGGCTGGAGCTGTTGCAATGCCTGTCACACGCCTACCCTTTGGATTGCTGCCAGTTGGTTGTGTTGTAGGAAGGGATTTAGGTGTGATGAAACCTCTAGCTATGATTGTCTGATTTGTCCTAATGACAAAGACGGTCCTTTGGGAACCACTGACTGAACTGTGGCCCCACAGACATGGGGGGCAGTCTTGTGAGTCTTTGAATACTGGCCATATACTAGGCTGCAAGCCTCGGCAAGGTTGCCATGAAGTGTTGTCGAACTTAGACACAATTGGAGCCGTTGCTGAGTGTCCTCCCCTTTGTGGTGTCTGTGCTAGGTTGCCAACCCAGATGGAGACTTGCGACTTACAGTTTTGAATTCCTCTGTGCTTGAGCGACCGCGTGCCCTGACTCTGGTACCTAAAGAAGGGTAAGTCTGAGCCCCAGAATAGCAGGCAGTGCAAGATGCGAGCCAGTGTGGCGTGGTGGTTAAGAGCGTGGGACTGGGACTCAGAGGATCCGGGTTCGAGTCCCCGCTCGGCCATGGAGCCCACTGGGCGACTTTGGGCCAGGCACAGACTCTCAGCCCAGCCTACCTCACAGGGCTGTTGTTGTGGGGATAAGATGGAGGAGGAGATGTGAGCTGCCTTGAGCCCTTTGTAGGAAAAAGGCAGGATAGAAATTGGAAAATTAAATAAATAAAATAAAAAAGTCTGGCTGAGCTTACGTGGTTGTTTTGGGGATGAGCAATCTGGCAATAGGAACAAAGTGCATTTTTGGGAAGTGTGAAGTGGTGCATTTTGGATGGATGATGTACCTCCCTCCCCCCTGGGTCAAGAGAGCCCACTTAGTAAGGGCTTTTTCACATTCCTTTTGCTCACCCTCAGCAGGGCATTTCGAGTTGGGAGCATGAAGTGGTATGTACTGGTCAGATTCCATCTGGCGTTCTGTGTCCAATTTGTGTCCAGAGTATGGAAACTGGGGTTAGAACCAAGTGCCAATCACCATCGTCAGAGCAAGTCAATATATTTGCAAAAATGTACAGCTGAAGGCAGATGCAGTTCATAAAACTGCCTTCCTCTTTCTGCAAAAGAACCTGGCTGATGTTTTTCAAGGGCACCAACATCTCGTTCCTTATCTGAGTTTTGGGAGCAGTGTCTGTGGCTAGGTCTGCAAAACACCAGCCCTCAAAGGCTGGGCTCTAAGCCAAAGCCTGGCGTTCATGCAACTCTAAACATCCCGGGGTGAAAGACCTTGGAGTTGCTTAGCTGATTTTTCCAGCAGCCGGAGCAGTTAGGCACCTTGCAACAGTGTGCTCATTCACAAGCAACCCAGCTGCTTAAAAAGCCGTAGGTGCTCATGCTGTGTCAATAGGATCGTTGCAAAGAAAGCTCACTGAGTCCCTGGTGGCCCACCATAGAAAGTCAGAGAACTGCATTCTGCTTGGCTCAGGCAAACCTGTGTCTGTTGGGTATTGTACGGTAACTCCCCTTGCGGCTTGCCTTCTTAGGCTGATGTTTTGGACAGACTGGGGGGACTCCAAGCCCGGCATTTACCGGAGTGAGATGGATGGTTCTTCGGCCACTTGCATTGTCTCCGAGGGAGTGAGGTGGCCCAATGGCATTTCTGTGGATGAGCACTGGATTTACTGGACAGAAGCCTACATGGACAGAATTGAGCGCATTGACTTCAACGGCAAGCAGAGATCGGTCATTTTGGATAGCCTGCCCCATCCCTATGCAATCGCTGTGTTTAAGGTAGTTTTGAAATGCATCTGCTTAGGGGGAAGCTTCTATCCATTGAAAGTGTTTCTTTGTGGAGCCAAAGACTGTCTCTACTCAAGGCTGTCGAGCAGACGTATCTGCTTTGGGTTTTGTTGCAGAATTCAGATCTGAGCAATACCTGAAGAGCACATTCTTTCCTGATTTTCCACCACATAACCTCTAGGTGGTGCTGTGGTAGAGCAGAATACATGTAAATACTCAAGTGGAAAAAGTGGTTTCTCTCTCCTTCATAAAGCAATACTGGCTTTTCCCCGCTCTTAAAAAAAGAAAAGAAAAAACTTGCTGAAAATTGCCTTTAGACACTGAAGCAAAACCAGAGGGTCATATTTTCTGAAGAACCCATAAATGACTGTGAGTAGGGAATGACAAGCATGCAAGAATTGTCTCATGTGGAGACAATTGACTCATGCACCGGAAGTTCTATCAAAGAGTAGCTGGGACCTCCCATTAGTGCAGGGATGTTGAAAAAAGATCAGGCAGCAAGCGATGGGCTGCAGACTCGTTTTACCCAGCCAAAGCGACCCATAGGAGCATTGAGCTGTGTTGGCTGAGGATGGTGGGAGCTACTGCAATCCAGCCCACCTGGCGGACATAAGGTTGGGTGGCATGTAGAAGGTTCAAGCTTCAATCCCTGGGATCCTCCATTAGGAAAAAACCCTGGAGAGATGCTGTTGTCCGGGAGTGTGGCAATACTGGACCAGATGAACCAAGGGTCTAGTCCAGTGTAAGGCAGAACAGAAACCTTCCCTCCTCACAGTGGGTGGATGGGTGGGTAGAGGTGGTTGGTTGTCCTGCTGCAAAGAAGAAGCCAAATCTAATGTTCATGACTCTGACCTGTCAGCAGAGGCGTGAGAGGCTGCAGCAGTGCAAAAAGAATAGGTAGCATGCTTAAACATTTCCAGAAATGGAAAGCAGCTGCCTTTTCCTGTGTGGCTTCTTGTTTTGTGTGTAAGGACACTCTGAATGCTTGTGTGGGGAGGCGCTTTACCATATCTGGTTGTTAAGGGCAACTCTGTAACCTAGATTTTCATGTAAGCCACCAGAGGGGAATTGGAAACTGGCCAACTGAAGCAGAATCAGTCTTTAAGGCTGATTCACAAACATTAAATTCCTTCTGCATGTAATTTAGCTCACCCTGGCTTAAGCATTATGGGCCTGCGTTAACCCTTCCTTTCAGAAACAGCATGAAAGCAGAACTGGATTTTTAAAAACCCAGCAACTTAAGTAATACAAATCATGACGGATAGAAAGCCTCAAGGGTGCCAAGAAATATTTGCAAGCATAATTATGACAATGAGGTCACATTTGCATGTAACACTAAACTAGGATTCCTGGGTTAACAAACCATGTTGTGAGCAAGCATTGTGTTAGGCCTCTTTGCTCTTGCTCCATCTGCTTGCTGCTTGCTCACATTGTGGTCTGTTAAGCCAGGAATCCTAGCTTAGTGTTATGTGTGAAAATGGCCATTGCATAGGAAGTATTGCGATAGTAAATGTTCAATAACCTTAATAAGTCCATATATTTACTTATTTTTATTTATATGTACTATAAATATGTGCCACTCCATATCTAGAGTGATAATATTTAGAGCAGAGGTGTCCAACCTGTGGCCCAACATGAAATCATTAATTTACTTAAAACATTGAGGTTTTTTTTTTGTGATTTTTTCTGTTTGTAACTCGACTGAGCAGTTCTCAGGTGTGAACTTTGTAGATGATAGCATCGTGTTGCAATGTTACATAAAATGAATGTATGTGTGCTCTCGTTATTTGTACACATGGTGGTGGCAGTTATCATAAAAATTATGCACAGACCTTTTCCTTTTTGCTCATCAGCTTTTGTTAGGGTTTGTGTATTTAACGTGCGGCCCAAGACTATTTCTCTGCTCCTAATGTGGCCCAGAGAAGCCAAAAGGTTGGACATCTCTGACTTAGAGAGATACCTGTTTTGTTGGGTTTGGTGCTTTGGGGGTTGGGTGTTGTTAATTTTTTTAAAAAATATCTACAGCCATAATTCTTCACTAAACGTTATTGCTTAAAAAGGGCTCCCACATGTCGGAGCAGGGCTGGCTTGTGCCAGGGGTCAGACTAGATGGCCCAGGAGACCCCTTCTGACTTGCTCTGTTTCTGGTTTCTATGTTATTGCTATCCAGAATGACATCTATTGGAATGACTGGTCACAGCTCAGCATCTTCAGAGCCTCCAAGCACAGTGGTGCTAGAATGGAGACCTTGGTGGACCACCTCAATGGTGTCATGGATATGAAAATCTTCTACCGTGGAAAGACAGCAGGTATTTCTGTTCCACCGATGGACATTCCCTGCTTGTTCTGTTAGTTGCCTCATGCAGCTAACCTGTTTCTGTGCCTACATATTAAGGCAGATAAATAAATGGTACACCTGTCTGTACATCATTTTATACGTCAAGTTTGAAAATGAGCCCCATCCAGCCCTCATTTCAGGGTGCAGAATGGGAGGTGGGAAAGAAGTACATATTTCAGTCATTTGCAGAATGGAAGATGGAAGCACGTCTGTCCAGGTAAGGAGGCAAATCTGGAAGGCTCTAAGCTCACTTCAATAGTGTGAACCCTGCTTTACTGAATTTTAGTTGCCTGCCAAAAACTTTTCTTCTTTGGCACACCTATGGCACTGCTTAAACCATCTATATTGACAGCACTGCTTTTAATTTACTAATTTTGTTAATTTATGTTTTTGTTTGATAATACCTATTGTGTTTTACCATGTTATTTATTGTAATATTTTAACTGTATTATTTTATTCAGTGTTGTTACTGACCCTTTACTTGCAATGGCCACCCGGAGAGCATGATGCTAACAGGTGGCTTTTATCCATATTAAATAAATGAATAGGTAAATAAATGGGCATTCATGTCATGCAGGACCTTTTCTGAGTAGCTCCAGAGCGCCATGTCCATCTTTGGGTCTGCATCCAGGAAAGTGGGTTCTGGCAGAGCTGCCAGTCACCCTCAGTGGGGCAAAAGTAGTGTATGATGGGGAGCAGACAGGGCCTCGTTTCTACGGCAACACTCCAAGCTCAGGTGAGAAGCAGGGGCCATGGTGCAAGTCAAAACCAGGAGAGGCCTCAAGGCAGCAGTTGGGACCTTAAGCTAGTACAGGTGAGCCGCTCAGACTGAAGTACAAGCATGGAGACTGGAGCTTCCACATTCCAAAACAGAGGAGAAAATATTCTCAAGTGCCTGGAAAAATTTCCCCCATGCCCAGCACATTTCAGAATGGACTTCCTTCTACTGGAGCAGTGACTTTTCCTCCAGGTATGTCACAAAAAAACCTTTCCAATGCTGCTTCTGTCTTGAAATGCTCAGCAGCCCCCGAGGAAGCAAAGTCCTTTCCAAAACTAATTGGGCATCATAAAAGTGTATTTTTTAAATTTTCCAGGCACCCAAGCATATTTTCCCTTCTGTTTTGGGACACACAAGTATGTTCTCCTCTTGCTCTGCTTCCTTGGAGCTTTATGTGGGCCAAGGTTGGGTCTTGTGATCAGCTGCTGAAATGAATAACTGAATGAAGGGCCACCCCCCCACACACACACTTGCATTTATACTGTGCCCCTTCCTCCTCCTCCTCTTCCGGTCAGGGCAGAATGCCTGCGTCACCAGCCCCTGCAGCGTGCTGTGCCTGCCGAGGTCAAACAACAGTCGGAGCTGCAAATGCCCGGAGGCGGTCTCCCACCACATGCTTCCCTCAGGGGAGATGAGCTGTGATTGCCCACCTGGGTATCTCCTGAAGAACGCTACCTGCGTCAAGGAAGGTAAGCCAGGCACACCTGGGCTCTGCTGCGATTTATGGTGGGAAAATCGGTCCTGCATAATCTAGAAATCAGGGCTTCTTAAGCATGCAAGTCCATCTGGACTGCAGAGTCCACAGTAATTCACTCTGGAGGGAACTGCATTCCTGGGAGAGGGCGAAGTCTTTGTGATGCCCTTACTGGACCAGTTCCCAGGATTTGGGGGGCATAAGAAAAGCTGTGGAAGTGAAACTGATGTGCAGATTGTTCTGTGAATTGGTGCATGGTCTGACTGTGTCCAAAGAGATGCAACAGTAGGATTGACGTAAGCCTGATCCTATCCCACCAGTGACTTGGTGATAAAGGGCAGATTCTGCCTTCTCTTAACTGCATTTCTGTAAGAGTGTTGGGCTGCGACTCAGGAGACCTGAGTTCTAGTCCCCATTCAGGCATGAAGACAACCGGGTGACTCTCAGCTAGTCACAAATTCTTAGCCAAAAGCACATGAGGGAGCTGATGTGAGGGTGAAAAAGAAAGGAGGAGGAAGATGGGCACGCTTCCTTGGTGAAGCCGGCGAGAAGTGGACCAGAGAAGTACATATTGTTCTGTCGCATTGCAACTTCAGTAGAGACTTTTGGAAGCCTTCAAATGATGAGTTGTGCAGAAAAGGCTATTCAAGGGAGGCTTTTTGAAAATCACCCTGTATTCAATGGAAAATTACCCTATATTAGGGTTAGGGGTGAGCACCAGGGTAGGGTTAGGGTTAGAAAAACAAGGGGTCCTGGCATGATTCTGATGGTCGGAATGTGTCCAGAATGGGCAGAAATGATGAGCTGTGCAGAAAAATCTACTCAAGGCTTTTTCAAAATCGCCCAGTTTTCAATGGAATTTTTGCCCTACATGAGGGTTAGGGGTGTGCACCAGAGTAGGGTTAGGGTTAGAAAAACAAGGGGTCCTGGTATGATTTTGCTGCTTGGAATGTGTTTAGAATGGGCAGAAATGGTGAGCTATGCAGAAAAAGCTACTCAAAGAAGGCTTTTTCAAAATCGCCCTCTTTTCAATGGAAATTTAGCCCTGATTGGTGCCTCTATTCTGCATCATTTTTCCACACTCCCAGAAGCCGAACTTACCTATCCTTTACAAAGGTGGGAGTGATTGTTATCACACGTGTCATTCTGGGCAAAATGTGTCATTCTCCCAGCTAAGCATCCCTTGTCTTATTTATCCCCACACCATGGAACATTGAGCGTCTTCTTTCCGCTTTGGAGAATGTGAGGAGGACAGGAGTAAGAAATGAGAAGGATAAAATTAGAGACTGGCAAATTACCAGTCTGAGCTGCTCATGAAACACTGTGGCATGGAATAGCCTGTTTGGTCTTCCAGACCGGCATACCTTTTTCAAAATACTCCATTCCCTTTCCAGTTCAGCCCTGGCCCCACCCTGGTAACAGGCAGTCGGCATCCTGCAGGCGTTCAGCATGCTGCTCTTCTACCCCAGCCACTTCGGGTCTTTTATTCCTTCCCCCAAATTTCTGGTATCTGTAGGAACCTTGGCTGCTGATGCACCTCCCTGGCACAGGGGTAGCGTTGCTTTGGCTACACGAACAATGGTGCTTGGTTCTGAGCATTGGCGATACATGGGGCTCCGTGTGTTGATGGGGAGAGTGTGTGCTGGAGATCCACACAGGGCTGTGGCGGAGGTCATACGCCTCACGCCTTGGGAGCCATCGGGCCGTGGCCTCCTCATGGTGGAGTAGGGTTTCTCGGTCCTCTTATGGTGAGCTGCTAGGATCTTGTGCCTGAGTCCTGCCTCTTTTTAATAAGATAAATGCTGCTTTGTCAATTGGGCCCAAGTTGCGCTTTTCTTTGGATGCTTGTTTGCCTGCACTGGTTCCCTCATTGCCCCCTCTTTGCTGCTGTGTGCACCAGAAAACACCTGTCTCTCCAACCAGTACAGATGCTCAAATGGGAATTGCATCAACAGCATTTGGCAGTGTGACAACGACAACGACTGTGGAGACATGAGTGATGAGAAGAACTGCCGTAAGTGCCGTGAGCGGCTGCTGTTTCTTTCGCATGCCGGCTTGTGAGGTGCTTTGTCCAGGAGCGTGAGCAAGCGGGGGGGGGGGGGGTTTGCCCGGGGGGGGGGGGAGGGGGGGGGGGGGGGTTGTTCCCGGGACAGGAACAGAGGAGGGGTCTGAAAAAGGGGAGTAGGGAGGGTTCTGTTTCTGCTCTCAGGAGCAGGGCTGCCATCTAAGACGGCTTTTCCCAACCTTCCATCCTCCAGATTACAGTGGCTGGAAGATTCTGGGAATCATTGTCCAACAAATTTTGAGTGCACCAGTTTAAGGCAGGCTGTCCTAAGGGACTTGGTTTCATGGGATTCGTGGGGAAGCTCGATTGTACTGGGGAACTGAAAGGACAAAAGAGAGAGGATGGCTCTGGAGAATGGGAGAAAGGAAAATGCTCTGCGCCCCAGGTTAAGCTTAACAAATCTGCTGCCATCTGCCGTTGACTTACCAGGATTCTCGTGCATTCTTCCCTTCCAACAGCAACAACCCTGTGTGATGCCGACACCCAGTTCCGCTGTCACGAATCGGGGACCTGTATCCCTCTGTCCTACAAGTGTGACCTGGAGGACGACTGTGGGGACAACAGCGATGAAAGCCACTGCAGTAAGCAGGGCCACACAACCCGTGCCTGTGTCACATTTTCTGCACATTGTGACCCCTGCACATTGGCAGTTGCCCAGGAGCCACACGTGTGCACAGAAGGCCATGCCGCTCCCCAGTGTGGACCCACAGCAAGCGAGCTGTGTGGGCCCCGTGGAAAAGCAGGGGCAGCTGTGGACTTGCACCGCCACTCCTGCCATGGGCGACTGTCCCGGGCACGCTAGATCATGCGCTGGCCACCATTCCCACTGTGAGCAGCAGGTCCCATTGGAGGCCTCTGATGCAGCCCAAGCAGACGGAGAAGGACATCCGGTCTGTGACCTTTCACACTCTCTGACCCCTCGGATGGCTCTGTACAGAGAGGAGCTGTGTGACACCTGCCTTGTTGCCCACTGAGACACTCTGCTCTTCCAATTCCCATTTTACAAATACCTGAATTTTCCTAACTGGCAGCTGGGATCATCTTAAAGCCAAGTGGGAGGCTTTCCATGCTGCCATCTCAGTTTCTGATCACCTCTTGAAGGCAGGTAGAGCTCACCCGTGCATTCTCTTCCACCTTCCCTTCCTGGGACCAATTCTTTGCTCTGTTGGCAGAAGCCCACCGGTGCCGAGATGATGAGTTCAGCTGCAACTCCGGGATGTGCATCCGCCTCTCATGGAAATGTGATGGAGATAATGATTGCCGGGACTGGTCGGACGAGGCAAACTGCACTGGTAAGGGAAGCGCCTTTCCCTTTTCATTTAGGAGAATCGATAAGCCCTTGGTGGGAATTGCTGATTAATAGACATCAGTGACTGTAAGCATTAGTAGCTTCTTTGGCATTGATTTGACCTCTCTCTTCCCTTTCCTCTCCTCTTCCCCTGAACTTATTGTACATCAAGGGGAAAATGAGTCCTCTTTACAGGCCCGTAACAGATTATTCCATTGTCAATTTATATATTGGCATAGGAAAAATGTCAAGGTATGAATCTTAAAGCTGGTAAAAATGTTCTTAAGGCTAGAATCCAACATTTAGTGCCCACAAACCTCATTCCAAATAAATGTCAACATGCATCTTCCACGCTGCCCGGGGCGCAACAGGGCATTGGGTGGTGGGGCAATGCAGGAGAATGGCAAATGCTAGAACAAGTGCCGATGAAAACCCTGCCGTGGCCATCTCCAGGCAGCAGCAGGGAAAGGAAATGGGATATCTTGGGAATGTCCTTAGAAAAGGGCCTTTTGAAAAAGTTTGGCTTGGTTCTGTTTTGAAACAGAGGTGCCGAGGAGTCAGATGGACGCCTCTTTGGATGACAAGCAGATGCTCCACTCCGTGTATTTCTGCTCAATGAGGGGCAGCCGGGGTGTGATGTTTGGCTGCATTGGTGTTTAAGTCCCTAACAGCTCTCACAATGGGGACGTTGGTATTCTAGTGATGTGAATACTTTGCAGCAGCTTATCTTTCCTGCGAGCTTCCAAGAGCAAGTAATTATAGGACAGGAGCCTGCTCCGAAAAGCTGGCATTTCTTTCTTTTTCCAACTTTTATTTTGCTAAGCTCCAGCTTGAAATTATCTGCGGATAACAGCTACATTAGAAATAGTTCATCTGGCAGCTCTGCAGGCCAAATTGGTGCCTCTTATCAAAAATAATTACATTTCACAGTGAATACTTAATAGAATATTATGGCTGGAAGTGCAGTGACTTAGAATACCAGGTGCATGGCACTGGCCCGATGGTCCTGAGTAGCATGCAATTCAATTAAGATGAGCCTGCCTTTCCTTCCTGATAAAGAGGGATCTTTTTTGCAAAAAGAGAAGGTGCACCAAAAATAAGCCAGTAAGGGCTTAGGGCTTAGCAAGAGTCTAGTAAGGCTTAGCAAGAGTCAGTGCAGCGCAGGGCCACAAGGATGGTGGTCGTATGAGGTCTATACTATCTATGCAAGGATAGTCCTGTATGAGGTGAGACAGGGCACTGGGTCTCTTCAGCCTGGAGAAGAGGAGACTCCGGGGGGATCTGTTGGTGACATAGAGGTACATGAGGGGGTGTCACACGGAGGTGGGTGGAGACCTGTTCTCCCCTGCAGAGGAAGGCAGGACGCGCTCCAGTGGAGCCAAGCTCAGGAAATCAAGGTTCAGTTTGGATGTCAGGAAGTACTTCCTGGTGGTTAGGACCCCCCGGGCATGGAATGGGCTTCCACGGGAGGTGGTTGAGGCCCCATCGGTGCGGGTGTTCAAGGATAGACTGGACATGCCCATGGTAAGCACTTCATGAGCAGAGCCGGCTGGTGCCAGGGTCAGACTAGATGGCCCCTTCTGACTCACTCTGTTTCTGTTTTTCTAACCTGAAGGGCAGTGTCCAGTCCTGACTATCTGCATACAGGGCCCATTGCTCCTGCTGCTCCATGCCAGGAGACATGGCCCCCTCTCAGCCCTCTCTTCCTGTCTTTGCTTTCAGCTGTTTACCACACCTGCGAAGCCTTCAGTTTCCAGTGTCGAAACGGGCACTGCATCCCCCAGAGATGGGCGTGTGACGGTGATGCTGACTGCCAGGATGGGTCTGATGAAGACCCCGCCAGCTGCGGTACAGGGGAAGCACTCAGCCACTGGGAAAAGCCTCAGGATAGTTACCCATTGCCTAAGCCAAGGGTGGGGAAGCTCTGGGGAAAGGAGTGGGGGGTTCTAATGGCGCGTGGGACAAAACTTGTGCATTGCAGCTTAAATATCTTACTGGCAGTAACTTACTTATTGGCAGCAAGTTACAATCCAAATCGATAACAGGGTGTTTTCCCTTGTACAGCCCAGACTCATGCTTCCCTAAGAGGGCAATGAGCTGCCTCTTATAGGTTGGCCTGCTCAAGTATGATTTTTTTTTTAAGGTTAGGGGAATATTTACTTCTCTCTTTGTGGAGGAGGGTACCCAGAGTTGCTTTCTGGATTTTCTGCACCCTCTCTAAATCCAGTGCAGTTCTCTCTGATCAGAGGAGCTACAACCTGAGTTTAGTCTTGCTCGCTTTGCAGAATTGCCTGGTGTTTGGAACTTCTGCTCTGTTTAACTTATACCTCTCTGAAACATCCTTCAGAACTCTTGAATTTCCTTCCACTGCCCATGTTCTACCTTATCCTAGGGCAAGGGAATAGAAAGTCAGGAGTCTTAGATGAATAGTATGGACCATCCAGCCCTCATCCCTTGATTTAGGAGTCAGTGTTGGGAGAAAGCGAACAGTTTTCCCATTTCTGGGACAGCTTTCCCCAGCCTGGCCCTTTTTCCAGTTTTTGGCTCTTTCTTAACAATGGCTGCGCAATTCTCCATCCCAGCCTGTCTCCATGCATCATGTATGCAGGCACTCCAAAAGGTGTAGCACAGGTGTTTACTTTGTGTGCATTTTCTTCCTTTTTTCCAACTGGGATTGTACAGAGACAAAGTGCAATGGATTCCAGTGCCCAAACAGGACCTGCATCCCTTCCAGCAAGCGGTGTAATGGAGTGCGCGACTGCTCCGACGGCTCCGATGAACAGCACTGTGGTGAGCGCACCTCTGGGCCGCTGGTTGCTCCACCTCCCCACTATAAAATGTGGGAAGCCTCTTCTGTGCCACCCGTGGGCAGGTGGACACAACAGCCCCAAAGCTTCCCGGGGAAATGGGAGACTCTGTGGGACCCCCTTCAGCATCTTCCCTCGTCTGGCCCTTTGCCCACTACGCCGCCTTCCCCTGCCGGGTACCAGTTATGTCACGCTGTGGATAGAGAAGGACAGGGAAAAGAGGAACAGAGAGAAAACTGCTGGAAGACTCTGCTAAGGCAGATCTGGCTCTGCTATAGGCCTGTTTGTCATTGGGGCAGAGTCTTCCTCTGTCTTAAATTATCCCCCTGAAGCAAAGCACATTTGGTGATTCGTCGTGAATGAGGGTGGTACAGAGGTGAAAAAGTGATCATCCAAAGAGATGCTGGCACATAAATGTGCTGCTGGGATGGGGGAGCCGATCGTTCCTTCCCCATTTATTTTCCCCTGGTTTTTTCTCCTTGCTTCCACTGTCCGCAGAGCCCCTCTGCACGCGATACATGGATTTTGTGTGCAAGAACCGGCAGCAGTGTTTGCTGCGCTCCATGGTGTGTGACGGCACCGTGCATTGTCGGGATGGTTCGGATGAAGACTTTGCCTACGCCGGATGCTGTAAGCCGGGAACGCTGGCAGTAAAATGTGGTTTTCTTGGGAGGAGAGAGCTTGGTGGCCATGGGCACCCCGTTCTAAATGCACTCCATGCTTTGGAACTGGGTACCTGCTCATTCAGGAGTAGCAGCAACATGGATGAATCTTGTTGATCCAAGTTGTTCCAAGGCAACCTTTCCAAGTCTGGGGGTTATGGGAGTTGTAGTCCAGCAATGTGGAAGGCTCTAGATTGGGAAGGCTGTTCTGTGGTGTAGTGGATGGACCGAGGGTCAAAAGAAGCACAAAGGATAGGAAAACACTCTAGTAGTGTTGATTGATTTATTTCATTTCTCTAGGGCCCAATAGGCAAAGCTTTCTGGGGGAGATGGAAATAACCATAGTATCACAAATACAGATCATAAAATGCAACAGAGAATGTAGATAAAATTTAAAACACGCTAAACACTAGAAACCATTTCAGTAAAATGCTGGGTGTGTTAAGGAGTCGGCTAGCAGAAATGCCTTTAGCTACCATTCAGCTGGTGCTAGAAAGGTGAAAATGTTGGCACCAGGCAGACTTTGCCGGGGAAACACAGATTTTGGGACTGCTGCTCAGCTGCGCAGCTCAGTGAGTGATCTGCAGCCCAGTCACATCTCTCAGCCCAACCTACCTGTCCAGGTTTTTGTTCTGGTAAAAGTGAGGGCAGGGAGAAGGGAAGGAAAGGGCCCAGTAGCCCTTTGGTGGAGGGACAAGGATAAAAAATACATGATGATGAGAAAATTTATGATGAAAAATTAGTGAGGATGGGGATGATAAAACTGAGATGCTGCTACCTGCATTTGAACAGGCATTATGGTTCCCCAAACCTTCTTTTAATCTCTGCTGGAGAAGACACTCTTTTCTGGTCCCATCCTCCTTGTCAACACACTTGGCAAAAAAGCCCCCTGGGAATGCAGTTTTCCCAAGAGCTACTTCAGTCTCAGTAATCACTGGGGAAACGGCTTTTCCCGTGGGCTGTTTGCACCTGGTGTTTTGCTCAAGATCCACTCAAAAATAGCTGAAGCCAATCTTGGTTTGGTTTGGGTGGGGGAAGAGCTTGGCTCATTCCCAAGTCCTTCCAGCTCAAGCCAGGCAGGGGAGTTCTCCCTTCTTGCAAAATGTTATCTTTCCATCAGTTTCTGGCAGTCTCTTGTTCCATTCATCCCCCCGCTCTTCTTTTTAGGTACTGTTTTCCACTAAATAGGGGTATTCTGCCCAGGCTGTGTACACACTGCACCTTAAAACCAATCAGTCCATCACTCAGTCAAACATTTGTCCAAGGCAGCCCTAATTCAGCTCCAAGAAAAGCTGAGTTTTGCAATGCATTGTACAGATTGTGTTTATTCACATATCTGTGCTTATTTTGCATAATTTAAAACACAATGCCATGCATGTTTAGACAGAAAAAATTATGTGATTCCCACCATCAGTGACTGGAGTGAGCTGAAAATCGTAGGATTTTATTTTTCTGTCTAAACATGCGTAAGATTGTGCCCACATCCTACTTCTGTTTGGTGGGGAAGAGTGTTCATGGAAATGCTTGTCATTGCCCACAAGTTTTTCAAGCCTGTCTTTAGTCTTAAGGACTAGAAACTTGACGTCTTGAAAGTTAATACAAGTCAAAGCTGAGATGGAGTGTTGGTGTAGACTAATTTGTGGAAAAGGATAGCCTTGCTTTGTCTCTCTCCGGCACTCACTGCAATGGGAGGTGAATGATACTTGCAGCCTTGTAAGGAAAGCAAGAAGGTAATTAACTTTGAACCTTCTGAAGTACCACGTCAAGGAGATTACCTGGATGCTGGATTCTGTCTTCTGCAGTCCGTTCAGGCATCTCAAGGTGTGATGTAGGATCATGTAGCACCAGTTTAGGGTTAGTTGCAACAGAATAACGCAAATACAAGCGGCACACGGGGCCTCCTGGGCCTTTGCTGGCACGCGACTTCCCTGGAACGATCGCCTTTGCAAGTGTGAGGCTAACCCCATAGAGCCTCTGGCTAGGGAGGCAGAAGCACAGAAGATGCAACCTGCCGGCTTTTTCCCTTTTGAAACCAGCTCTCTTCTTGCAGCCCAAGAGCCTGAGTTCCGCCGCACCTGCGACCAGTTCAGCTTTCGCTGTCAGAACGGCGTTTGCATCAGTTTAGTGTGGAAATGTGACGGCATGGATGACTGTGGTGATTACTCGGATGAGGCCAACTGTGGTGAGCGGTTCCAGGCATCTTTTGGAAGATTTTATATCCGGGCTTTGTCCTCTTCGGGGGACCCCAGGCGGCATGCGTCAGCCGTCTCCCTCTCCATTTGATCCCCACAATAATCCTGTGAAGTGGGCGAGGCTGAGAGCCCAGGCACTGGCCCAGAGCCAGCCGGTGAGCTTTGTGGCTGAGTGCAGACCAATGTGGATCTCCTGCGTCCCGGTCCAGCCCCTTAGCCCTGCGGAGCCAGTCCGGCTGTCTAAAGCGGAAATCCAAAGAATGGGTGAGGAGCAGCCCCCTCAGAAGTTCAAGAGAAGGCCGAGCTCGTTTGGGGTGCGCTTCCTGCCCAGATGGAGCACTCAGCTTTTCTGGAGAGCATCTCTGGCCCCGTTTCTCACCCTTCTTTGCCAGTTTGCTTGCTTGCATGTTCAGAAAGCTCCCAGATTCAGAACAGCCCCATTAATGCCAGCCTCTGGCTATACGAGATTATCATGCCCATATTGGCTGCAGGTGATGGTAGTTGTAGTCCAACATATCCAAAAGGAACTCAATTAAGGAACATTGACTCATTTTAGGTGTAGCACCCAAGGGTGTCTGCAGAATATTTTAAAGTTTTTGTTTAAATGTTTTCCCATCTTTTGAAAAAGGTATATGATAAACCAGTGTGGAATGTGTGGAACTTTTTGGCAACAGAAGTGGACTAAATATCCAAATAAGAATCTGTCTGAAAGAATTGCTTTCTAGGGTAGGAGTGTTCATCCTTCCAGCATTAAAATAACAGTCCTTTAGCTGTCAAGAAGGTATGGAGAATCAATTCACAATTAATATGAGTTAATTTTGATGAAGCTGGTCCATGATTTAAAGAGTATGTACATCAATAGATACTAAGCACTGTTCTGGTACAAACCTCCTAAAAAGAAGCAGGTCCTGGACTTTGCCGAAACACTTAGCCAAATAAGAGAATCCCTTACTAAAGAGAAGTTGCTGTGTACAGTAGGCATGGAACGGATGCTCTGGCCAGGTAGGACACCGTAAGAGCTGTAGACAAGGCAGGTAAATGCCAGAGTGGTGATCAACTGGTGACACATGTTGTAGTGGTGCCCATAGGTCCGTAAAGGCTGGGTAACCTTGGCCTGGCTAGTTGGGCCATTTCGGTTTTTCTGGGTAGGTTGAAGCTGGTGGGAGCTAACGGGAAGTTTTTGTCCTTACCAGAAAACCCAACTGAAGCCCCCGTCTGCTCTCGGTACTACCAGTTCCAGTGCGACAACGGGCACTGCATCCCGAACAGGTGGAAATGTGATGAAGAAAATGACTGCGGGGATTGGTCCGATGAGAAGGCCTGTGGAGGTAGGTGGATTCCTTTCCAGATACTCAGCGGGACAAACAGAGGCCCCTCCGAGGGCATGGAGTCCTGAGCCGGCCCTGTCAAGGCAGCCTCTGCCTGCCAGTTGGAGGCTCCCAGGACCAGAGACTGAGGGCTCTTGAACAGCACATCTGAGTCCCGGGCAGCCAGGGTCAGGGAGGCCCCAGAGAGTGGGGTCCAGTCTGTCTCTTTGGCCCAACAAAAGGACCAGGCTCTCGTGGCCTGTCCAGGTGGAACAGGGTGAGCGGGACTGGCTTTTTGAGGGTCATGGCAACTCTCTGCCTCCCACCTTGGGAAGGTTACTTTACTTTATGTACAACATCTAAGAGAGATGCCATTTTAAAGTGGGGAGGAGGAAGAGGAGATTCCTGACCACCACCCCTTCACTGCCTCTCTTCTTTCCTGGTAGAAAGTAACCAAGCAGGTCAACCAGGCCACGGGAGAGGATTTTCAGCTTTTCAGAATGGGGGAAAGCTTGGGAACGGTTGGTCCTCTGGAGAAATGGTTGTGAATCTTCCAGAGAGCATTGGGGGCATAGAACCGTGATAAAGAGGTGTTCTCATCTTGGGAAGGGTTATGGCAATCCAGGGAACCCCAGCAGAGAAGATCGGGACTCCCATGTGGGCCAAATTGGCCAGAAATTCAGCGCCTCTGATGTATGTGGGAACGGTCGAGGAGAACCCCTCCATTTCGATGCACTGTCCCAGAAGGCCAGATGTTGCGGGGAAATGGCAGAGAAAGGGCTGCTGGTGTTATGCCCCGCTTTTCCAAAGCCTCCGTTTTGTCTGCTGTCGGATATCATGGCCCCATCTGCAGCACATTTCCAAAGTCTGTTGCTGGTCTACTTTTAGATTTGGCAGTCATCCCTGTGACCACATCTGCCCCTGCCACATGTTCACCCAACCATTTCCGATGTAACAGCGGTGCTTGCATTATGAACAGCTGGGTCTGCGACGGATACCGAGACTGTGCAGACGGCTCGGATGAGGATGCTTGCCCTACCTCTTGTAAGGACCTCTCGCGACCTTCTGCCGCTTCGGTCAAGTTGCATGTGGCTCCATCTAGCTGTTCCTGCCCAGAGAAAGTACGGGAGGGATCAGAAAATGGGCAGGAACCGAAGGGAGTCATGAAGGCAGGTTAACAAAGTGGTTGCAGGGAATTCTGGGATTGCCGAAATGCTGGCCAGGAGGTCCTCACTGAGAAGTTCAGTTCAGGAAGAGCAGATGAGCTTCCCAGAATGCCTTGCATCCGGCAGCCATGTGAGGCTGTTGAGGTACAATCTAGAATTTGTTCTGTATCCGGGTGGACCTGACCAACACCCCTGATGTGGTGCTAGTTTGAAGCGAACGTTTCCTAGCCATGCCCCCAAGGGGAGCCCAAAATTCAGGTCCCAGCAGCTTCAGTCTCGACTAGGAGCAGGTCTTTTGCAGAGCTAGGAGGGCTTCCTTCCCCATTCAAGACTAAGTCACCCCTCCGTACTCTGGTTTGCAAAAGGGAAGACCGGATTGTTGCTGGGAAACTGCATTCCCCAGACCCCTGTGAGAATCACCACTAAGCTTGAAAGGAAGAGAGCGTGCTGAGGGGGTGGCCGAGCACCGCAGAGTCCCTGGTGATTGAAAAATTCCCAGTGCGGCCTCGGAGTGAGCCATGCCGGCCTCCACCTCTCCATACGGATGGGGTGAGCATCCTAGAAGACTTTTTGGGAATTGTGCAGGGATCGTTCATTAGAAAGCTTTCCTTGTCAAGGGAAAGGACTGGGGTAGCAAGGCCAGAAGCTCAGGCGTGTCAGCCTTCCGAAGGGAATGGCAAGGCAGAGGAAGATTTGCAGATTTAAAACAGGCTGAGCCTGCCATCTGCTGGTCTGAACGATGAGGGAATGCGTGGCTGCAGAATTTGTAGTGAAACAGGGTACCCGAAGCAGAGCACCCCAAGGATGCAGTCTCCGGTTTTGCTTTTCACACGGATGCTCTTCTTGCCTGCTTCTCTCTCAGTCATCGGTGCGACATCGCCATCCACCAGCCTCCCTGGCCATTGCAGCAGATTTGAGTTTGAGTGCCAGCAAGTGAAGAAATGTGTCCCCAATTGGAAGCGGTGCGACGGCTTGAAGGACTGCCAGGATGGCACGGACGAGCGGAATTGCCGTGAGTGTTCAGCAGGACGGGAGCAGACCTTGTGGGAGCACCTTTCCCCGTGCCATTCCTGTTTTCAGTTTTAAAAAAGTCACGGTGGATGTTGCGCTGATCAGACGATCTCTTTAATTTCTGAGGCTAATTTGTATGATGGCTATAACTATTTATGGGCCCAAGCCACTGCTTATGTCTCCACAGAGACTTAAGTCAGCAAAAGCTGCCTTTGTTTGCAAAAGGCCTTCTCGGTGGTGGCAACTTTGTATTCCCCTTTACATATGGGCTTTAACTGTAGCCTTGAATTCTTGCCCCTTTAATGTTTCATTTTAATTTGACACGCTAATTGGTGGTTCACCCTGATTAGATAATCTAAGCTGCCCATGTTCCCCAGCTGTTGGTATACATAGGAAGCCTGCCTGTGATACCCAAGGTAGCAGCTAACCATCAGGTCTAGTAGCCTTGATAGCCTTCTCCATGAATTTCTCCAGTCCCCTTTTGAAGCCATCCAGATGGGTGCCTTTCCCTACATCTGGCGGAAGTGACCTCTACAACTGAGAGCCAGTGAGGCGTGGTGGTTAAGAGCATGGGGCTGGGACTCAGGCGATCCGGGTTCTAGTCCCCGCTCGGCCATGGAGCCCACTGGGCGACTTTGGGCCAGTCACAGACTCTCAGCCCAACCTACCTCGCAGGGTTGTTGTGGTGGGGATAGGATGGAGGAGGAGAATGATGTAAGCTGCCTTGAGTCCTTTGTAGGAAAAAGGCAGGATATAAATCAAAAAAAGAAAAGAAAAACCCAAACTGAGGCACAGTAAAGTCCTTCCTTTGAGGTGTCCTGGCTCTCCCACAGTCAATTCATGGGATGACCTGCTGGGGTCTAGAATTAGGGAAGGGAGAAAAGTCTTTCTCTGTCCACCTCTATCACATCTCCCTCCACTCACCACTGTTCTGACTCGTGCTAAAGCAGCTTTCGGGTGCCGCCTTTCTGCCTTCCAGCGACACGCAGCACCTTGTCGTGCCCCAGCGGGTTCAAGTGTGAGGACGGGGAAGTTTGCATCATGCTGGCAGAGCGATGTGATGGCTTCCTGGATTGCTGGGACAGTAGTGACGAGAGAAACTGCACAGGTATGCTGGGGTGGGTCCCAGGAGCTGTGAGCGGTCCTGCCCTCCCTCTCCCACTCCCTGACACTCATCACAGCTGCTCTGCTTCAGGGGAGAAATGCATCTCCTGGGTGGAGGTGTGGGTCCCTTCGGCATTTCTTTGCCCTTACGTGTTCCTTCCCTTTGAAGATCATTCTTGTTCCTGCAAGGGTTGTCTTTAGAAGTGCCCACATGGACTGTATTGCGCTGTGCTTTCATATCCTTCTCGATGAATCCACCTACTTTGCTCCCATCATCTGGTGCGCTTGGACAACCACCTGGCGCAGGGCCTTCTCAGGGGTGGTGCCAGTGGTGCACAATCCCCATTGCCTCCCTCATCATCAAGATTCAGGGGAAATATTAAGATTGGGCTGCTTCAGGGGGACTTCAAGTGATACGCTGCTGGCTGTGGTTTTCGTGCTCAAAGTTTCTCTTTTCACTATTCATGGCTTTAGTTTATGTAGGTTTGCTGTTGTTTGCTTATTGCTTGTCTCTTTCATGCTTTCCCCCCTTGTTTGATCTTGTTAGCCTGCTTGGAGGTTCTTCTGGGTGGAAATGTTAGATGTAAACATTTTAAATGGATTCATAAACAAAGTAAGTGTTCAGTTTGAGAGAGAGAGATTCATTTCAAGGGTCTTTCAGCCTAATCTTTCTGGTGTATTTTGCTAAGAAATTATACATTCTGAACCACCACCCACAGCTGTGTTTGGCTTAGTTGGTCCCATTATTCAGGTCTGGCCTAGAATAGCTCCAGAATAGCTAAATCAGAGCAGCAAAATAAGCAAATAGCCCTTCCTTAACCCACACTATGCGATGAGGCAAAAGTATACAACTTCCTGCAAGAAGAAATCCAGCTCAGAAAAGCAGGTTAAGATGCCACCTTTCCAGGATTTCCTTCTTCTTCCCCTCCTTCTCCATAACAGCTCTGAGGTTCAATTAGCAAAATTCCTGGCCCTCAATTCATTATCGTTTAGTTAATAGCCATCGATCACAGTCTTTCTTCCTGCCATTCCTGTCCCTGCCCTGGGTCCATCCATTTTCTTCCAAGTGCACAGAGGGCTTCTGAGCTTCCATCAGTCTGCACTTGTTTAATTAAATATTGATTGGGAGGAAGCTGCACAGACTTCTGCTCAGCCTCTCGGCCCCAGGCGCCTGCAGCATTGCCCAAATCTTCAGGGAGATGCATGGCTTTTGCACAATGTCCTTGCAGGACAGAGCAGCCATTGCGAGAAGTTGGTGGATCCTGTGATGTTTGGAGCAGTTCTGAGCGCTCTCTGTAGGTCATTTGTTACCGCATTCCTGGGACTGAGCCTTCTGAGGCTGGACAGCATGTTTGAATGTTTTTCCCTCCTAAAACCAGAATCACCCTGCTCCTGGGGAATGTCTTCCCTTCTCCCCGAGATGTTAATTTTCCATACCTAGGGAAATAGGAATTTCTTGCTGGTTCACGGCCATCTCACTTTGAGTGCTAGACATGTCATGGGTTACAAGGTGGCTGTTTAACCATCAAATGAGTCACAATGTGGCTAGCAGACCATGGTTTGTTAGGATGGCTGGTTTCACACAGCCCAGGCAGGCCCATTCAGTGATGACCCCCGTTCAACCCATACCCAGCCATGAGTCTGGATTGCCACATCACGTGAACCCAGCCATCAAGTGTACAGAAAACTTCAGATCCATATGCCGTGCTTCTTCACGCTGTGCTGAAGCCGTCCTTCTTTTTCCTAGATGATAACCTCGTCTACAAAGTACAGAACCTTCAGTGGACAGCTGATTTTTCGGGCAACATCACTTTAACCTGGACCCGGCCGAAGAAGCTGCCCCCTGAATCCTGCGTCTACAACATCCTGTACAGGTAGCCCGGCTGGTCTTGGCACCTCACCAAGTGGTGATGTGAGCAGGCCGTGGATGCATGCCTAAAGTCTGACTCTCTGGGTGAACAAATCATACCTTCTGAACGGATTAGTATGGCTCTGATGCTCATGTCAGTCTACATGGCCAGTTGCAGGATACAGACAGAGCAGCGAAACTGTGCCAAGGTGGTCTATGCATGGATAACAAAGAAGCAAAACACACACAGGGAGAGTATGTGCCTTAAGTAATGCATCAGAAAAGCAGCTTTAGGGAGGAAAAAGAGTGTAATCACTGCACAGAATCTGCAAAATCTAAGAATAATACAGGGCAGCCTACAGATATGTGGGCAGCTCATCTTTCTGTACAGCAGCAGTTGGAAGCCATCCATATTCCCCATCCCTGTCTTAGGCCATACTGAGCAAAACCTTGTAGGAGAAGTGAGGTTGGCCGGCCTTAAGTCTGGAACAATGCAATTGATGCTCTTGCATAGTGTGCTTTGGGAATGCTGAACGGCTCGAGCAGCCGCCTGCCTGCCCGTCCTGCCAAGCGATGTGCTTACGGTTGTTTTGTTGAACTCCCAAATCCAGGATGGTTGGAGAAAGTGTGTGGAAATCCTTAGAAACTCACAGCAGCAAAACGAACAGCATCTTGAAAGTGCTGAAACCAGACAGCACCTACCAGGTCAAGGTTCAAGTCCAGTGCCTGAGCAAGGTGTACAACACAAACGACTTCATCACCTTGCGTACCCCGGAAGGACGTGAGTCAGTTCAGGGGAGGGGGGGTGAGTGCATGCACTTGCTTGTTTCTGGGATCAGGCTGCCGGGATCAGGCACTCTCTGGCTCCATGCAGCCACCCAGCAGAGCTCCTGGCTGCAGGTGAGGCTGGCGTACCCTTTGCAACAGTGCTGACCTTCCTTGTAATGCATTCTAAACTTTTTGTACGAAAGCTCAGGTTTTGCCAGACCTTTTGTACGAAAGCTCAGATTTTGCCAGACCTTTTGTACGAAAGCTCAGATTTTGCCAGACCTTTTGTATGAAAGCTCAGATTTTGCTTTGAGGTGAGGACAAGGTCCAGAGGCCAGCTGGGGTCAGATGCCAGCAAGGCCAAGCAGGGTCAGGAGCAGGGGGAGGCTGGCGAGGACAAGGAGCAGGCGCTTGGCACAGTGGCATGGGATGGAGGGCAAGGGCAGAAGCTGGAGCGGCAGGAGTCCAGGCACAGTGGAGGACGAGGCAAGGCTGGAAATAGGACCAGGAGCACAAAGCGGCTCCTGCAGAGGCTGGTGTGGCTGTGGCAGAGGTTGATGGGGAAGAGTGCGGAAGCCTCATATGGAGCTCCCACCAGCTTCCAGCTGCATCGCATGCTTGCATGGGCTCCGGTCCCCTCCAGCACCTACAGGGGTGTTCCAAGTCCTGCAGGCACTTGAGTCATGCTGCTTGTCGCCAGGGAGGTCTTGGTCATGGCTTCAGGGCCTGACCCCTGTGGGCAGGCCCGTTCTTCTCCACCAAATGCTCCAGTCCAGCACCCGTCTTGCAAAGAACATGCAGGCGCCTGGGACTAGGCTGCTGATGCTGATGCCTCTCTCTGCTTCTTCTGCCAGTGCCAGACCCTCCCCGGCATCTCCAGCTGTCGCTGAAGAGAGATGTGGAAGTGGATGTGATTTGCCAGTGGGCACCCCCAGCGAACGCCCATGGCCTCATCCGAGAGTATGTGGTAAGTGGGGTTGCTGTTGCATCGGTCTCCCAGCTTCTGTAGCCGCCCCCCTCTCCATTTTACTCTTGCAAAAGGCTCTTTGGTGTGGAAAGGGATAATTTGGACTGTGGCGTGCATCCTGGGAAAAGGAGGGCGCCCTTCAGTATGGATATATTTGAATATGTATAGCTACCTCTCTGCCCTGTCTGGTGTTAGCACATATAAAAAGCATTAAAGCAAATTACCATATACAACCAGGTTCACCATAAAAAGCCACCATTGTCTCTAAAGTGCTCCAGAGAGCATAATAATAAAAAAGCAATTGAGAGCTTAACACTGAGCAGCAGGGAGACAGTCTAAATTCATTAGGAAAGGAAACCCACAGCTGTGGTGCTGCTCCTGAGAAGACCCTGCTCTGCATTTCCACCAACATAAGCTTTCTTAGCAGTGGGAGACGCCACAGGGGCTCTCCAAAAGTTTGTAAACTGTGGCTAGGTTCACACAGGAGTATACCATCTTTCACATATCCTGCAAGATAAGTATCCTTTTATCTGCAAGACGGGCAGCTTGAATTGGGTTTGGAAGACTAGGCGATTCATGCGAGATGGTCCATAAACCAGCACCTGGAGCCATAGTCTTCCAGGAAGGCATCTGGCTGCCGAATCTTGTGCCAGAGGGGATGGAAAGCCCGACATATCAGGTCAAACATTTCATTCCTACCAGGTCATGGCAGTGCCACCTGCTGAAACATGGTTGTTGCTGTAAGTTGGGCCTTCCCTGTTTTTCTGTCCCATTAGGTGGAGTACAGCAGGGCTGGATCGAAAGAATGGTCGTCTGTAAGAGCGCCCAGCAACTACTCGGAAGTTGAGAGGTTGCAAGCCAATGCATTATATACATTCAGAGTGAGTAGCTGTTTTCTGGGAGTTTTATTGTAATGTTGGCAAGATCCCAACCACTTTGTTCTGGTACTGGGTAGCTAAAATCAATTTGCAGGCAAATGGTTTTCAGAATCTCGGTTTCGTTCTAAAATGTAAACAGCATAAAGGAAGTGCATGTTACTGTCTTTAAATTTTTACAAGTATTCCAGTAAAAACATCTGTATAATGGAAAGCACATGGAAGGACTGATCCTGTGGCCTCTGGGCACTGTCTGAGGGGCCATAGGATATTTCAGAATCCCAGATCACAAGTTGAAGAAAATGCTGGAAACTGGGAAGTGGAGATTCTGTTCCCATCCCTCACAGCCTGCATGGAAAGCACCATGCTGACTATGCCTCCAAGGTCAGGAACGCAACCTTGTAGGGGGAAATGAGGGCATTTGGCACGGCTGAGAAGGAAGGTGGTTGAAGTGGCCAGGATATTTGTTGTCCTGAGGACCGCCCAGCTTCCTTCCCTTGCACTCCAAAACGCCCCAGCTGGATGGGCAAAAAAATTCTATTGGTGAAAAAGCAGGATGGGAGGATGTGAAGGCCAAGGACCACCCCTCTGCCACTTTCCTGCCTTGCATAGGGCAAGTGTAAATTTTTGAATTTGGGGGCATCCCAGCAGGACTGCTCTCTAAGAGTGCTTTAGCTTTTCCCCTCAAATATTTCAGGTCAAATACTTGTGGTGTACTGGGCCAAACAATAACATGGGGCACTTTTTGAAAGCCTTCTTCTTTATTAAACAGAAGTAAAATAAACCAGCTTAATTAGATCTCTCTAGGGCATCAGAATATTTCCCAGTGCAAATCACCCTGTGCAAATTAACTCAATTTCCACTGGAAATTTTTCCCACAGAAATGGAACATTGTATAAATGCAAATGACCCTGATTTGTACTGGAACCACTTCTGGAAAGCCAGCATCACTGTTGTTGGTTTGTAGGCCTGGGGCAAGCTGTGCAGGCAAGGGCTCCAAGCCTCCTTCCTCTTCCACCTTAAAGGAGGAGACATCTGCATCCTCCTGCATGCTTCCCTCAGAATGTGTGGCCTGCATGAACAAAAGGCCACGTGGGTGCACAGCAGCAACCTGTAGAGCGGCGGTGAAGACCCACAAACTGCCGACTCAGTCGTGGTGCAGAGAACAGGCCGGTCAGTCCAGGTTGAGAGTCCCCTTCCTGTGCTTCCCTGGCCCAGGAGGGCTGGATCTTCCTCAGGTGGAGGGTGGGTGTGCCTGAGGGCAAAAGGGCAGGTCGAGAAACCAGACATGCCAGTGGTGGAATGCTGAGGGTAAACGAGCCTTTTCAGTCCTTGAGGATGGGGGGAAATGCCCCAAAGCTGGGAAACTACCCAGGGATGGGGAGGGGGGCATGGCTGTTTGGGGGACCAAAGAGCTCCAGAATGGGACCCCGGGCCAAATCCGGCCCTTGGGCCTGAGGTTCTGCACCTGTGTGCTAGCTCAAAAGGGGTCCACCGCAGCTCAACCTGAAGATGTCAGAGATGCCTTCAGGGTTCTTCCGGTGAACAGCACGTGCTCCCCCACTGAGCTGCCGCGGCCCAGCCCAAGTTGGCTGCCTGCCTTCAGGGTGGTCAGCATATCACCTGGGACAGGAGGGAGCATTGGCTTCCCCCTCCTGCCCCACCTGCCTTTGGCCGTGCCTGGCTTCAGGCTGCTGAGGACCCAGGCCTGTTGATGCCCGAGATCTGTGCACCCAGTGCACTGCTTTTGCAAATCAAGGGCTGCTTGTCATGGTGACATGGCAGGTCTGAAGCCACAGCAGCATCCTTGCTCCTCTCAGCTCTGCTGAGTCGAGGAAGGAGCCAGCATGGGAAGAGGAAGGCGGGCGGGCGGGCAGCAGGTGGCAGCAGCAGCATTCAGTGATGCTAGAAGCAACATCTGCACAGGTTCCTCGCACAGCCGTGGGAAGCACCAGCTGGCACGGATTTCTCACCTCCTGCTACAGTTTCCCGTGTGAACCGGCCACACCGTCTCCAATCACACTCTCTCTGCTCTCCTGTAGAGTAACGGAACAATTTGCATCTTGCCTCGAGCCCCATTTTCCCATCAGCTTTGTCCTTGTAAACCTGCTCCATTTTCATTAAAAAGCCATTGTATTATTATTTTTTTTCTAACATGCCTTCTTGCATATTAACTAGCCTTCTGATTTGAAAAGGTTGCTGCGGTAACTAGCCGTGGAGTGGGAAACTGGAGTGATTCCAAGTCCATACGAACCATAAAAGGCAAAGGTAAACCATTAAGGAATTAATTCCGTTCACTCATTCATTTTGTTTCGTTGCAGCTGACAATACAGGCGTGTGTGTGTGTGTGTGCATGCGCATATGTGCCAAAACGCCAAATAAGCCTGAGTTTTGATAGCAGTTTCACTTCCCACATTTTGTTATGTTAATATTAATATGTTTATTGGCAGCCTTGGATGATCCATTTGTTCTCTTCCCTGGTCTTCTCAGTGTGCCAATTACAAACCATCCACAGTGACAAATAGACTGCACCCACTGTAAATATTAATAACTTGAGAAATTAAACATGTATGCTCTGCTATACTATACTATAATGTACTATAAAGTCTGAAGTGCTGATTTAATGTATGCATCTGCTCCTCAATATTGGGGCAGTTTATACCTCAGTTCTTGAAAAAGAAAAGGAAATAAATAAACCAGGCATTTGGGTGTAAGTAAGAATTTATCAAAATCCACCAGTTCAAGGCCAGTACCTTGAAATGGTCCATGTGATGCCCTGAGAAATGAAGGAAAACCAAAGAGAGGTTTCCATGGAAATTTCGTAAATTTCATACTTTGTAGCATTGATTTTGGTTGTTCTCTTTGTTTCATTTCTGTCCCAGTTATTCCTCCACCTACAATCCATATTGATAGTTGCAATGAGAACTCCATAAGCTTCACCCTCAAGATGGAAGCTAACATTCAGGTAATGCTTAACATTAAATAAACTAAAAACTTAGCCCAGAAGCAGCTGAAACACTTCATTTGGCAGCCTGTTGTATAAATGTCACACTTTGGTAAGGTTTCCTAAGATGTGTGGCTAACATGGATTCTGGGGGGCGAGTGAGAGGAATTACCCAGCCCGGTTTTATGTGGGTTCCCATATTTATGATGCCTGCAGAGAGCTTGCAACTCCTGGGCAGATTTGGCTTTAATTAAGCCAAATCTTCAGTGTAATGAAACCTTGCTGCTGGAATCTCACTGATCTTTTCCTGAGGAGCCAGAGATGAAATAACCCATCCCTGCCTTGTGTTGTCAGTCTAGATGTGGTCATCCTTTTTCCTGTACGATTCTCTTGCGTAAGGTTTATGCACTTTCTGGAGCAAACATGGTTACTAAGCACTCGAAAGGTGCAGTCTGATGCATGTTTAGGCAGCAAAAAGGCTGGCAACTCCTGGTGTGTCGGGCACAATCATACCGGCTCTTGTAGGCCTTTTTGTTTGCTTGTGTTTTGGTATACACATGCTGTGAACTGCACCTTCACTCACCTTTCATGGTCTTCGGCCAACTGAAGAAGATGCATGAGGTTCTGTTTGCAACCTTCTTTTCCACACTTCTAAACAAATGCATTACTGGGCATTTGTAGGAACTGCCTTTGGGCTGCAGGGAGCTGTTAGTCCATCGAGTCCAGCCTTTTCTTTATTTTAATAAAAAGATCCAGCCAAGAAGGGTATGGATAGTTTTGTATTTATTCACCCTCCCTACACATTTTGTAATGCTGGCCAACAGGTGAATGGCTACGTTGTGAAAATCTTCTGGACGTTCGATACACACAGACAAGAGAAGAGATTGCTGTACATAGAAGGGGGGAAATCTGCACAAACAAGTAAGTTTTGTCCCCGGATAACTGCTTCAACTCAGCACCTCTGGAGAGTAGAAGGGACTGTAGGAAAACACTGTTTCCTTTCACAACCTACCCTGCCCATGAGGTTATTGGATGATGCCCTCTGCTGGTTGCACATGGATTTGCAGCCCATTTTTAGTCTGCTTGAAACATAGAAACATAGAATCAGAGTGAGTCAGAAGGGGCATCTAGTCTGAGCCCTGGCTCCAGCTGGCTCCATTCATGACATGCCTGCCATGTGCATGTCCAGCCTATCTTTGAACACACTCACCGATGGGGCCTCAACCACCTCCCGGGGAAGCCAATTGCATACCCTCAGGGTCCTAACTTTCAGGAAGTACTTCCTGGCATTTAATTGAACCTTGGTTCCCTGAGCTTCGCTGACAAGCCCTCCCCCTTTCTGCACATGCCTACTTGGTCTAATTTTCTTTACTTCCCCAGTAAGTAACTTGACTGCTCAGACATCATATGAGATTTCCGCCTGGGCGAAGACTGAACTGGGCGACAGTCCACTCTCATTTGCACATGTGGTGACCACCGGTACAAGACCACCCCCTCCCAGTCTGAAGGCCAAAGCTATCAATCAGACTGCTGTCGTGTGCAACTGGACGGGCCCATGGAACGTGGTATGGATCCCTTCCTTTCCCCTTGGCACAGAGCAGCAGAGGGACCGTCACTTCTCCAAACATCCACCTTTTGTTTGCACATAGTAAGATGCAGTCAGTCTGTGATCCCAGAGCTGCATGTGAATCATGCAATGATCAAAGGACCAAACCAGGCGTTACTCAAATCTTCAAAGCACCCCACACTGAGAGCTTGATCTGGATTGCCTCCCCTGCCTGCCTTAGAGTAAAATTGGGGAAGTGGAAGGATGCAGCTGCTAAAGATGGCTTTATTGTCCTGACTATTTTGGCCAGCTTTTTCTATAAGGGCAAGGTTTTTAAAAAAATTCCAGAGATTTTTATTAGGTTTCCATCCCTCTCTTGGCTGCATTTTATCTTCACAAAGACTGCATGAAGCTGGCTAGGCTAAGAGACAGATCTAAGCCCACGCCTGTGCCCATGAGCAGTCTGGCTACAAATGATGGATGGGAATTACATTCTAGCACTTCTGGGTCGGATCCGGTTGGGGAAGCTAAGCACTCTCTTGCTTGGCAGCCCATCAGAAAAGCCCCCAGGAATGTCAAGAGAGCTTGTTCCTTTTTCCATCTCAGCCCTTCTATTGCATTAGCCACAAAGGTGTCTGTGGGATGGAAGCGCTAAAGCTTGCTTTGTGCGAATCAGTTTTGTGAATTGGTTTGCAAGGCTTTAGCAAAAGAGTGCCAACTCGCTGCCTCTTTACCCCTTTCTTCCTGGACAGGTATATGGCATATTTTATGCCACATCCTTCCTGGAGCTGTACAGAAATCCCAAAAATGCCACCACCACACTCCACAACATCACCGTTATTGTCAACAGAGATGAGCAGTACTTATTTCTGGTAAGGCGTTTATCCTCGATCTCTCTTCCCCAAAACTATTGCAACTTGGACCTTCGGGAAATGGATCTCAGGGGTATATACTGTAAGCTGCTCACGGTGGATTATATATTTTTGCTTGGGTTACTTTGTCAAGAGTAACATACACTGTGTTCAAGAGGTACATGATCCTGGTGTCAGGTATCTTCTGGGAGGGTCCTAGAAGTTTTATCGTCTAGGCAGAGAATACTCGTAAGACTGAAGAGCAGGGCCTTCCTTGTGGTGGCCTCCATGTCGTGGAATTTGCAGCTGTGTTCCATGGTCTTCTCTAGTGCTCCTTGTTGGGTAAAGCTTCCTTTGCCTGAAGGTTTTTCCTGTTGCTGCGTTTTTATATTAGGGCCAAGTTGTGTCTTGAGCATGTTAGTAGAACCAGGGGACTTAGGATTCTGCAGATCCTCTCCTGATGCATGGATGGAACACCCTGCTCCCGACCCCACCAGAACCTTTCCACTGCCACTTTCCAATGGCTTCTGGCAACACAGGTTTTCTTTAATCAAGCAACAGAATGGGCCCATTAAGGTGTGAGTTGAAGGTATGACACTAGAACATTTTCACAGATTATGCATAAGTACCGACCTGTTTCAGGTGCGTGTGGTTTCTCCATACCATGGACCTCCGTCTGATTACATTGTGGTGAAGATGATTCCTGACAATCGCCTTCCGCCCCGACATCTTCACGCCGTGCACCTGGCCAAAACATTTGCTGTCATTAAATGGGAATCGCCATATGATTCTCCTGACCAGGATATGGTAAGATGACGATTCAGTTTTGGCTGCAAATTGCATGTGATTGCATCACTCAGGAATGATTCCACACTTCTTGCAGCTACAAGAACCAAGAGAGCCAAGGAAAAGCATTTAACTTATTACAAAGGCATTAGTTAGGGGAAGAAAATGTGGGCAGCAATACATGCCTGGGTTACATGCAATGAAGAACTGTGGTATAGCAGTCCATGCACAAGCCCAGGGTGCCTGCACTCCTCCTCGTTCTCTGCCCCAGTGCAACCGTGAAGAGGAAATCGTAGGCCTTGGGTTCCAGTTTCAACTAACTGTGGTTACTCATTATGTCTGAACCTGGGCAAGCTCTGGTTAGTGTTAACGGTGGTTTAGGGGGCCTAGCTTCAAAGCGCCTCTGCATGCGATTGGTTCAGAGCTCTGGCAAGAGTGATCTCACTCTTCCCTGGTAGCCCATTGGGCAGGCAGGTACAAGGTGAGTGAGGGAAGTGGGGACAGAAAGGGGGAGAAAAGAGCATGATGGGAAGAGAGCCAGTCGTGTTTGACTCTGGCTTGACTCTCTGCTGCTTGCAGCCCTGCTCACTGCTAACACACAGCCTTTGACAGATTACTGTGGGGGCCAGAAAGGTTTAAGGAAACAAGCCAACTTTAAACAACTTTGATTTACAATCCTGGCTTGTTTTGCTAAGTTCTACTTAATGCTAACTACACTTCTTGGTTTGGATATAATGGGTAAAAACAGTTAATGGAAAGGTTCTGATCTCTTCATGGTTGCTCCAGATTGCAGGTCTGGGATAGTTAAGTGCACCTGAGCTTAAATTGTGGTCCAAAAGGGAATCCAAAAGTGAACTTGCAGTGTTGATTCCAGTGTGAATGTCGTCAGGTGTTATGGATTCCACAAGGACCAGAGCATTTGCTTTCCTGCAGAAGACCATGTTTTCAGAGAACGTGAACTCCCTGGGATTAAGTCCTTTGGAGGTCAAGGGTGTCTTCTCCATCTGGGTGGTACCTGGATGTGTGGGCTTGCATTGGCCAAGATCTCCAGCTCCCATGGCTCTTGGTCCCACACTGGAAGCACCAAGCTGGGGAAATCTGGATTTCAGAGTTCCACAAGTACATGCAACAGCTGCGTACAGGGTATGCCTTCAGGGTTCCACACCTCAAACAAGAGAAGTTGGATGTGAGTAGATGGGAGAAAGATATTCTCAAAGTTCACCGGGTACAACTTTGCTCCCCACAGTTATATGCTGTAGCGGTGAAAGACTTAATTAAAAAGTCCGACAGATCCTACAAGGTGAAAACCCGGAACAGCACTGTGGAATATACTATCAAAAAGTTGGAGCCTGGTGGGAAATATCACATCATCGTTCAGCTGGGAAACATGAGCAAGGAAGCCAGCATGAAAATTAACACAGGTCAGCAGCAGCACTCCCGGGAAACTCCTCTGGGGAAAGTAAATGGAAGATGTGCATTGTGCTAAATTTGCCAAGAGGTTTGCCTGAAAGTGCAACTTTTTCTCTCCTTGCATCTGTAGTTTCACTGGCTGCGCCAGATGCCTTAAAAATTATAGCAGAAAACGACCATATCTTGTTGTTTTGGAAGAGCTTAGCCTTAAAAGAGCATCACTTTAGTGAAAGTCGGGTAAGTTAGTTTTCACATCTCCATGTTGCCTTTTTCTTCGTTTGTTTTTCTCCTGCTTTTCAAGACGTTCACAGTGCCACGGCTGAGAAAATGTTAAGTTACAATGAAATACAAAAACTCCGAAACAAGAGCAGGAAAATGGCAGTGTAAATGGGGACAGCAGAATTAAAATAAGCTACGGGAAGCCTGCACGTACATCTTTGACAAATTGCAAAACTATGAACGAAGGCACTCCAGAACATGGCATCATTGATAGCTCTGCCCAGCCCTTGTAAAAGGCTTCATTCCAGATGCTGTTGTTACAGGGTTCACAAGAATCTCCATGTGTCGTTTTCTCTGGCCTTCTTCCGCATGATTAGCTGGAGCTTCACTACTCTTGCCTGTGCTGTGCTCCCCACCATGGCCACCTTCAACTGCTGCTGCGGGAGGTCCTCTAGCCCCATCACCCTAAGACATGGGTGGCGAACCTGTGGGACACGTGCCACAGCGGGCTCGCAAAGCCCACTCTGTCAGCGTGTGAGCCAAGTCGCCCAGGAATCACCCCCGCGTCCGAGAATCGGGTAACAGTGCGCAAGGAGTAGGGGCGCCAGACAATGGCGTCACAGGCTGTGCCTCATTAGACACGACTCATCCAACCTTTTGCATGGCCAGTCAGCGCGCGGCAAACGATACGGGCTACGACTGGCGGTCACTTGTGTTTTCTGAATGAAAACCTCACTTCTCAGGTTTCCCAGCAGTGTTCTCAGTGTTTTCTTGCGATAAATACCTGGGTTTTGGGTTGCAGTTTGGGCTGTCACTCTCAAAAAGGTTCAACATCACTGGGTTGCGTTAGAAAAACAGGAGGTTCTTCTCAAGGAAGGCTTTGTCAGAATCGCCCGATGTTCAATGAAATGCTACCCTATATTAGGGTTAGGGGTGAGCACCAGGGTAGGGTTAGGGTAAGAAAAACTAGGAGTCCTGGCATGGTTCTGATGGTTGGATTGCGTTTAGACTGGGGAGAAAGGATGAGCTGTGCAGAAAAAG